CGTGAAATTGTTAGCTGGGCTGATTCACCGCAAAGGCAAAGCGGATCGTTTATTCAGTGGTGCAACGTGTCCGTTGTTTGACTCTGCAATATTCAACCTATCTGACCTGTCTTCACAAAATAATAATAATTTACGCAATACTGATACTTATAAAACGCTTACTATGCGTTTTTACACATCGATTACGAGGTCATAATATTATATTGCCACCAAATCTGGTCACCACGTTATACATTTTCACGCTGCACCGTTTTCTAGACACTACAACCGTTGACAATTACTTCAGAGAAATATTCTGGAGAGTAAAATCGGTCATTTTTTAAGTTTTGCCCAAAATTAAGTAAAACCCAATTCCAATCTTCTTTAAGAGCGCACGCAGGCATGGTCTCCTGGTACGAAATACTCATAAATGGTGACGAATCATATATTCAGCGTTTATCTGTTTGATTGATTGAGTTTAGTTTTTCGGGGCTTTTAGAGGTATTCCAGAAATATCACGACGGGGGTTACTGGGAGGCCTATATCAGGGGCCAGAAACGGTGGGTGCCGTTGTTTAAACGTCGCGTGGACGACGACTATACACTGACATGTTGCACATCGACGTGAAGCTGGTATGGGAGGCTTCACACATTGTACCCATGAATCGAACCCGGGTCTTCAGCGTGACGAGCGGACGCTTTAACCACTCGGCTACCCCACCGCCCCCTGATCTGTTTGAAACTAAGTCAGATATAAACAACACAACACATAAATCACTTGTATGAATTTATTACAAATTTAGATGTCATGAATGAGCATTGTTCATCGAAAACACAAGTGCCAAAATAAATATCTGAAACATAATTTTATTTTTTCACTCTCACAGAAATAATCACACATCTCCATATTTCCAGAGTTTCTTCACTGGTCATCTTACACTCAATGGGCAGGCGATACAATTGATAACACGATTGGATACATACAGGTTACAAACACAAGACCGATTCGGTCAACACTGCCCTTAACGAGATCATTTGACATTTTACTGGCGCTTCACTGGACAATCATCTCCTCAGACACAGAGCTTAAATCCCAAATTAATTTCTGGAAATAATTAGAACGGAAAAGCAATTCAAAACAATTAAACATACACATCAGTTTTTCAATAAATCAATTAAACATGTTTGGTCTGCTTTCAATTACACCATCTGTGTGTTTTAAGTGTGAGTGAGTTTAGTTTTACGCTGCATTTAACAATATACCAGCAATGTCACATAGGGAGGCCAGAAATGGGCCCCACACATTGTACCCATGTCCCGAATCGAAACCAGGTCTTTGACGTGACAAGTGAAGGCTTTTACTACTAGGCTATCCCATGCCCCCTGTGTATTTTAAGTGTAGAATATGTACCAATTACATGTACCACAGTATCACCACCCTCTGATCATACTTATTTTCACATACATAATACAACATATTTTTCAGTCCAGTCTCTCATTTCCACATCATCAACACAGGTTCATCCAAAAACTCATTTCCGTAATCACCTGATAAAAGTACACCCAGCGTTTGCATTCATTCATGGACACAACTCCCATGTTGACTGCAGGAAAGTAAATGTTCTCTCTCAGGAGTTATAAAAATGTAAAACTAAAATAACACTAAATTGTGCCTGAATAAACACTTCGCCAGAAACTTAAACAACAATTCCATTAGAAGCATTAATGTTCTTAAACTTTCCAGCACAAATCCAATGGGGTATAACGTTTAAGTTTTAAGTTCAACTTAAATATAGCACTTAGATACTACCCGAGTTTGAGTAACACTTACTTCTCTGCTTCTACTAACTACAACAATGTGGCAATACCCACTGCTAGTGCAGAAACACTACAATAAACACTATACTAGACCCAGAAGGACAAACCACTACAGGCAACAGCTGTTTTCACCAATCAATACATGAATCATTTTAGAAAAATGTTGATAGGAAGAAATCTATAGGCTGTGCTGTAAATTAGCACTACATACTGAAACTGCAACAATGGAAGAGATGTGGACAGTTTCAAACACATCAGCCTGTCCGAATTTTGATTGTTACTCTGAGGAAAATTTAGGGTAGAAGAACCTACATGGTCATGCCAACATTCAAAAAGGAGGAGTCGATGTAAATTAAAGTGACACTTGAATAATCTAGACGATATTGTTCCTGAGCAATTTGTCCAGTTGGGCATGATTTCTGGATTAAACAATTAAGAGTATACTTTAATATTGCTGTGGATTTATGTGGACATTCCAAAAATTATCTCCAGAAAGAGGGAATCGAGGGCCCTGTTCCTCAAAGCGATCGTAGCGCTAAGATGATCGTAACTCACATACCTGAATGTAGACTTACGACTGTTGTAGCGCTACAATCGCTTTGAGGAATGGGGCCCAGAACATGATTTAATATTTCAAGAACACCAAGAAAAAAGTCAAACTTGTAGCTGTTTGAATGTTCATCGTTAACTGAAGAGGAAACAAGATTTTCAACATTGTTGATATTAATTTCACCAAATGAACTCAAGTAGGTATTGAAGGGCAAGGTGACAGCCAACATGAACTTACAATCTGACACCAAGGTGAAGGTCATATGAGAAGTGTATTCACTTAATGGAGAATACCCACTTTAATGGTGTCTGGCCCCACAAACAGATACCAAAGTGAAGGTGTATTTTACAATTACATAAAAACATGTAGACAGAAAGTTACATATACATATACCCTCACATTCCCAGAATGTACAGAAAAGTACTGTCTCAAATATGCTAAACCTTTACAAACGTACTCTTTCAGAAATAAATACAGATTTTTTATTGAGAGCCATTAAAAAACAGGCTTATTCCAATTTCTAAGTGGGATATGAACGTTTATGGTGTAACTAGCATCTATATTCACTACCATCTGTGATGCTACAGTTTCATATACACAGGCACATACTATACAAATAAATGCTTTAATTTGAACAATATGAGATAACATGGTACAAAATGCTACTGAATATATTACAAGCTTTATGAAGATTAAAGGCCACAATGAAATAAATATTTGTTTTCATACAATTCTTTTTTAAAGGAGGGATGCTCTTTTCAACCCCGTTCAGACATCTGTGAAGAGAAACTTCATGGTTGTTATACACATGAAGCAAAAATGTTTGGTAGGACTGTGCATACCCTTAAATTTATTAAAGTTGGTAATCTTCCTTGTGGCTATTTGGAAACAGTGTTTTGAGGAAAGGTGCTCAGTAGCGAAGTTGGTGAGGATGAAAAGGATACAGCTGATTTTCGAAAATGAAAATGTATGATCAATTCAGTTAATTTGTGAACATGATAACCGGGTTGAGCTAAAGCAGACCACGCAACCAAAATGTGCCAGTCTTATGTACATCACACACCTTTCAACATTTTGGTAAGGGATGTCCTGAGCTTCTTCCTTCGTACCAGTTTCTAAACATTGACATCAGACTTTATTGACTTTAAGACTGAATTGTTTCCATATTCAGTTTCACAACCTAATCATTTCACACAGTACAAATGCACGCAGAATCATTTTGTCTGCTATTTCTAACCTTATTAGTTAATCACCTTATTTTTCAAATAGCCACACTGTGCTCTTAATGAACATAAACAAATGCAGTACTTGAATGCAGGCAGACTGATGTCCTCAGACATCTGAAGCATTGTCAAGATACTGAATCTGAACACAGGATTTAATAATGAACACATGGTTTATACTTTTACAAATGCTACGCAGATGACACAACTTCAAGTCATGTTTGGTATATCCAGCTCACATGATCAGTTATCTGACAGGTGAGAAAGAAGACAACAATTTTGCTGCATTAGCAGCCTCAAACAAGAATATACACAGAGCTGTCAACACCTGAAGGAGGTTTGATGCTGTTAGGACTAAAATACATCTGATGCCATGAAGGACAAAAAAACAAAACAGATCTATGCCCTCTCACAAACATAACACATACCATAGAAAATGAAAGCTGCTTTGATCATGTGAATCAAACAAGATATCTCAACTATATGCCCATGTTGTACATTCATTAATTGATTACCAAAAGTAAAGTATGAAAATAAATGCAAAGCCTTTCAAAACCTTGAGGTAGACTAACAAAAAAAACAAGTAAATCTCAATTTTCTTGATTGAATGCCTCATTAATGAAATGGAATGGTGAGTCTGATCAGGTTATGCATTGATTATCAAGGATGGAACTATCCCTCATGCTGGAGCCAGTTGGCCCAGTGTTATAGGTATCCTAAGAACTAAAAATATTGCAAGTTTTTAGTAGGGGTAGGTATGTAATCAAACCCAAAACCTATTGTAGTGAAAAGGCGATATTATACAGAGAACTATGACTGTTGTTACACTAAGATTGTGTTAGGAATGGAGCACAGGTAAGTAAATATTTCAGGTAAAGTTGTATCCTTGTATTCCCAACAAGCAGCCAGCAGCTAAACCCAGGAGAGATGTCTGGGTACACAGTTGAAGGATGAAAATACTGTAGCAGTTGTCTGATCACTTTAGCTGTTTGCCTCCGCAGCCACTATTACCATGGCTATGCATGCTTCTTGATGACATTTGATGTGCCTGAGGACATTGATGAAGTTCTTCTTCTCTAAATGCAGTTTTAAGGAACAGTCTCTTGTTCAATGCTCTCAGTTATTGTTTTTTATTGTAAATATTTGTATATATCTTATGACAATGGATAATAAGCTTCTGTATCCCTTATGAGAATACCCGCTCCACATCCTTCTGAATCATGCACATCGATATGCATGTGTATTATATGCATGTTAATCTTGAGGAAGGAGAATATCCTGCCCCATTACTCTGACATCGATATGCATGTGCAGCCCAAGCATCCTACTCAGGAGGAATGAGTTTATTTGTACGCTGCTTTTAGCAATATTCCAGCAATATTTCAGCAATATCACGGGGAGTGACACCAGAAATGGGCTTCACATATTGTACCCATGCGGGGAATGGAACCTGGGTCTTCAGCTTGACGGGCAAATGTTTTAACCACTGTAGTACCCCACCACCTCCTCAGGAAGAAGGCAGAGAATACCTCTTTTCTGAGGGTTTGGATACAACTTACAAGCTGTCTCGTTAGGTGGCTTCACTTAAAACTCAATCCTGCTAACATTTCCACATTGTCAGCATCTTCAAGTGACAGTCCCATTGGAGATATTCTCTCTTGATAAAATAATTTCTTAAATTCTCCATCTAATGTCAGCACTGGAGAACAAGAAGAGGTGTCATCACCGCTGAGTCAGCTAGAAATGTAGTGCGGTGGAGACCCATGGTCCTGTCCCTAGCATTTGTTGAGTTGGCTTCTGGGTGGGACTCATCTCCTGGCACCCCTCCTTCGTCCTCGTGCGGTGACCCGTGGCTTGGGTGGCACCCCAGTTGCACTGAACATGTTGGATGGAGTACCGAAGGAAGTGTTGGGAGTGTTCGGGGTTCCTGCAATGACACGATATGGTAAGTTATCTGACACCTGGAAACACTAAATGATGACATGAGGATGAGAACTGGCTCTGGGTAGTATTGAACAAAGCGAGCTCAGTGCTACGATTATTGTAGCTCCTAAACCTTTAACCACCAGGCTGCCTCTGATTTGTTGAAGATTATTATTCAGTGCTGGACCCAAATAATGACGATGTTTATGATGATGACAATGAGAGAATTTGGATGTTAACTCACATCAGCAGTGTACACAAGAAATACATGTATGCACACTATTTAAATACCCATCTACAAAGGAGAGTAAAATAGCTTGACCTATAACATTTCATAACCATAAAAGGATATCGCTTCACAAAACAAGGCATTTTAAATATGCCAGCTACCAAAGTTAGACCACCATCCCTGGGACATAAGTTCAGTCACTATATGAGTGGTGAGTGAGGATTAAATATAGAAGGACTACTGTATGCCATGTGTACATACTAGTGTTGGGAATTGGCTGAAATCTTACAATTGAAAATCAAAAATAATTGGTTAGAGTAATTTGTCAAGTTTTCCTGATTATGTTTGTTAATGCACAAAAAAGAAGAAGAAAAAACATGTAAATCTTTCGAGTTTTTGGCACACTGCACAATATGCATTTGCAAATTTCACATCTTTAAAGGATGACTAGTATGACTAAAAGGATGACTAGAGTCTCTAAGATAAAGGCAATCCTGACTTGGAACGAGATTGTAGTGCTTATGAAATGTAACACACAAAACCAACCTAGTGAAAAATATTGTTAATGCCAAACAAGTGTTCCAAAATTGTTTGAGTTCGATTATGAGAAAACATGATCGATTGCTTGGTCATTTAGTCACTGCGACCAATCTTCGATTATTTCAATTAATAGGACCACCACTAGTACATACTATGGTTGTTCGCACACAGAATGGATGCAAGTGAGTATGGTTTTACTCTGCTTTCAGCAATATTCCAGCAATATCATGGCAGGGGGCTACAGAAATATGCGAGACACATTATTTCCCTGTGGGGAATCAAACCTTGGTTTTCAGCATGGCAAGCAAACGCTTCAACCACAGGGCTACTCCAAAACCAAGTTGAGCATGCCTTAAGAAGTGACTGATCCCAGTTGCATTTAGGTTCCCTGATGGTGGGGCTTGTTCAACATTTACACAGCAGAAAGCCACACACTGTAGTATTAAACAAGATTTGCACATCATAATGTAATCATTGACTTATACCTTTCGTCTTATTGGTTTCCTAATACCATCACAATGTTTCCGTCAAAGAAAATGAAAGCTGAGTTGAAGATACGAATATGTATAATTGCTTCAAAATGAAGGAGTAATGGATGTAATGAATGAGTAACTTACCAAAGTTTACTTGTGGAGAACCTGTGAAGGATGCATTGAAGTTGAATCCCTTGTTTTCCCCTGTACTTGGCTGACTTGTTTGACCAAACTGAAATGTACCTGGAGTGTTACTTTTACTGGGTGTACTCGTGCTTCCAAACCCAGACGATGACTGTCCAAACCCAGGCTGTGAACCTGAAGAAAACGCACTAGGTGTTGATCCAAAATTGAACCCTGCTTGGGTGGTGGGTGCACCAAACACACTTGTCTGTTTCTGGTCCTGACTGCCAGAAGGTGCCCCAAACACTGAAGATGTAGAGGCAGCCTGACTGGAACCGAAGGCTGGTTGTGAAGGAGTGGAAGTGTTACCAAATGTGAACGTACTTGACCCTGTATTGTTCTGTTTTGTAGTGCTTGCACCTGCTCCCGAATGCTGGAGCAGCTTGTCCAGTGCTGCCAAATGCTGTCGTACCTGAGCTTGTTCCAAATGCAGACGTAGCTGTTCCTGTTGCAGACCCAAATCCTGGAGCTGGTCCTGTGCCAAAACCTTGTGCCGAACTGTTTCCAGAACCAAAGGCTGTACCACTTGTTCCTACACCAAAGGCTGATGTTGCACTTGCTCCTGCCCCAAAGGTAGATGGTGCACTTGTTCCTGTTCCAAAGGATGATGCATTAGTTCCTGAACCAGGCTGATGTAGCACCTGTTCCTGTTCCAAAGGGTGATGCTGCATTTGTTCCTGAACCAAAGGCAGATGTTGCACTTGTCCCCTTACCAAACACTGATGTAGCACTTGTTCCTGTTCCAAAGGCTGTTGTGGAAGTGCTCCCCTTTCCAAACACTGGAGCTGCTGTGCTACTCACCCCAAGTGCAGTGTTGCTGGTGTTGCCAAAGGAAGCTGCTGCCCCAGCTGCAGGAGTTGCACCAAACGAGAACAACCCTGGCCCTGAGGAAGTCTTTGCTTGAGTTGTTGACGCTGAACCCAACTGAAACCCAGAAGACTGAGCAGTTGAGCTGCTACTCTGTCCAAACTGAAACCCACTAGAAGCAGTGGACACAGCTGTATTCTGTCCAAACTGATTAGCAGCTGCAGACCCTGTGACATTCTGCCCAAACCCCAGCATAGTTGATGCAGTGGATGATGCTGTGGTAGCTGCTCCAAACAGGTTTTTAGCTGGAGTCGAAAGTCCAGTTGACTGTCCTGCTGTGATGCCTTTTGTAGTCGCAGGTACAGAACCACTTCCTCCAAATTTAACATTCGTGGTAGTTGCTGCTGGTTGTTGGCCAAAAGAAAAAGTAGGGGCTGGAGGCCCAGTAGATCCTGCTTGGTTTGAAGATGCTGTACTAGTTGCTGAAGGAACTGAAGTCTGCCCAAACTGTAGAGCAGTAGGTCCCGATAACGAGAAGCCTTGCTGAACTGCAGGCTTGGGTGTACTGGTAGTCAGTGGTAAGATGCCGATCACTTGAGAGCTTGGTTTAGCTGGAGCACTGGAGAAGTTGACAGGGGCATTTCCAACTTGAGTTGTGCCTGGGTATGGGGGTGGGGGATTGGCAGGTGAATTAAATGTGTTAAACAGTGCCTGCGCTGCTGATAGACCGGTACTGCCAGTATCTGTTTTAGTTGATGGAGTTGGAACAACAAGGTTTGTTGTTGTTGTTGATGTCCCTGTAGACACAGCTGGTGGAAAGATGGGGTTGAAGCCTGAAACAGTCGTAGATGACACTGGGGTTGTCACTGATGCTGTTGTTGAGGTGCTTGCAGATGATCCTGTGGCCACTGCACCGAAGATAGGCTTGAAGGTTAGGTCTAGTTGAGAAGCTGTGGTAATGGCGGCCGGTTTGGTGTTCAACAAAGGATTTGTACTTGCAGCTGGCTTGCTGTTTAAGAGAGGATTGGTGGTGCTGTTTAAGAGAGGATTGGTGGCGGAGGTTGGCATGGTGTTCAACAGAGGGTTGGTGGAGGAGATTGACGATAAGGTTGGTGTCTGGCTGACGGACGTCAATGTCTTTGTATTAATGGGCACAGATAGGAGAGATGAAGATGTGCTGATGCCTGCCTGCTGAGACGAGGTGGTGCTGGTTGTGGCTGCTGTTTGGCTGGAACTTGCAGGAGCGGCAGCAGAGGCCACCACATCAGTACCTGCAACAACAGACATATTTATCACCAGGAAGATTCACCTTAATTTTAAAATCCACCATTTTGGCTGCCAAAGTGAGAAACCATAACTTTGTAAGGTGTTAAAGGGTTCAATGTTGCTTTCAAAACAGAAAGCAACATGCATAAGTGTGTCAGTGTGTGTACTCATCCTAAATAATGCAAGTTCTATAGTAGTTTCACATGGATACTGACTCTGAGCTGATCAGTCCTTATTTTATTCCCTTCCTGCTAAGCATCAGGCAGAGTAACAACAAACACCATCTTTTCGTGTCTCATGGCTGATTTTCGATTCTCCACTACATCACTGAAAAGGTCAACCCTTTGAGACAAGTAAAAGAATATGTAGTACCTGGGGCCATCTTTACACCTAACCATAACAGTACTTCCTTAACAGTGAATCATGGCACTGAACTGTTTCTCTGTCAGGCAAACCAGCTGCATTTGTAGAAGAGGTGACTTACATTATAAAATGGTCAGACCAATTGACTTGATTGATGAATGCTATCATTTGCCACTAATTTATTATTTCAAAACCAACATCATACAGCTGGAATTACATGTGATGATACGAATTAGAATTGATCTTTGTAACCCATGCTTGTCTTGAGTGAGTGAGTGAGTTTAGTTTCACACTGCTTTTAGCAATATTCCAGCAATATCGTGACGGGAGACACACAAAATGGGCTTCACACATTGTGCCCATGTGGGGAATCGAACCCGGTGTTCAGTGTGACGAGTGAACACCTTAACCACTAGGCTACCCCACCATCCCTTGTCGCAAGAGGCACTGGGTAGTCAGGCTCACTAACTTGGTTGACACATGCTATTGTACCCTAATTGCGTACATTGATGCTCATGACATAAATCACTGGATAGACTGGTCCAGATATGATTATTCACAGACCACTGCCATAAAGCTGGAAAATGCAGTGCAGCATTATATAACAAACAATCAACCATCAAGTTGAAGACAAACAGCATGAGTGTGTTCCATCGAGTACCTGGCCTGCTCTTCTTTTTGATGGACTCCTCAGCCTCCTCCAGCATGTCCTGCACTCGCTGCCGCTCAGCCTCCCGGTCTGCCTCGTAGTCGTCTGCTGTAGCTGACACTCGCGCCACTGGCACCTGAAAAGCAGCCAACAGCAAGATCAGTTTACTTCTGGACATTATACCAACCCTAGCTTATGGGGTACAAGGTAGGTGAACAGATAGCTAACTCCTGTAAATGTACAGTTCAAGTCTGGGTTCCAGCTACAGAATATTTAGCCATACAAATGAATCTGAGAAGCCTGGGTACAGGGACAGATTACTCCAGAATACCAACACCAGCAAATGAAGCATTGAAGCCTGGGTACATAGACAGATTACTCCAGAATACCAACACCAGCACATGAAGCATTGAAGCCTGGGTACATAGACAGATTACTCCAGAATACCAACACCAGCACATGAAGCATTGAAGCCTGGGTACATAGACAGATTACTCCAGAATACCAACACCAGCACATGAAGCATTGAAGCCTGGGTACAGACACATTACTCCAGAATACCAACACCAGCAAATGAAGCATTGAAGCCTAGGTACATAGACAGATTACTCCAGAATACCAACACCAGCACATGAAGCATTGAAGCCTGGGTACATAGACAGATTACTCCAGAATACCAACACCAGCACATGAAACATTGAAGCCTGGGTACATAGACAGATTACTCCAGAATACCAACACCAGCATATGAAGCATTGAAGCCTGGGTACATAGACAGATTACTCCAGAATACCAACACCAGCACATGAAGCATTGAAGCCTGGGTACATAGACAGATTACTCCAGAATACCAACACCAGCACATGAAGCATTGAAGCCTGGGTACATAGACAGATTACTCCAGAATACCAACACCAGCACATGAAGCATTGAAGCCTGGGTACATAGACAGATTACTCCAGAATACCAACACCAGCACATGAAGCATTGAAGCCTGGGTACAGACAGATTACTCCAGAATACCAACACCAGCAAATGAAACATTGAAGCCTGGGTAAAGACAGATTACTCCAGAATACCAACACCAGCACATGAAGCATTGAAGCCAGGGTACATAGACAGATTACTCCAGAATACCAACACCAGCACATGAAGCATTGAAGCCTGGGTACATAGACAGATTACTCCAGAATACCAACACCAGCACATGAAGCATTGAAGCCTGGGTACATAGACAGATTACTCCAGAATACCAACACCAGCACATGAAGCATTGAAGCCTGGGTACATAGACAGATTACTCCAGAATACCAACACCAGCAAAATGAAACATTGAAGCCTGGGTACAGACAGATTACTCCAGAATACCAACACCAGCAAATGAAACATTGAAGCCTGGGTACAGACAGATTACTCCAGAATACCAACACCAGCACATGAAGCATTGAAGCCTGGGTACAGACAGATTACTCCAGAATACCAACACCAGCACATGAAGCATTGAAGCCTGGGTACAGACAGATTACTCCAGAATACCAACACCAGCAAATGAAACATTGAAGCCTGGGTATATAGACAGATTACTCCAGAATACCAACACCAGCAAATGAAGCATTGAAGCCTGGGTACATAGACAGATTACTCTAGAGCCTGGCATCTCGGACAGATTACAGAATACTAAACCCAGAATATGAAGTATTGAAGCCTGGGTACAGAAGCTGATCACTGTAGCAGTGTTCCTGCTAGCATATTTTATTTGCCAGTCCTTGGGACCGGTAACAATGAAAATACCAGTCTCTATACTATTTTGCTATCTGCAGTAGAATACCTACACCAAAAATATTAAGGCCTCGGTGCAGGACTGAGTACTCCCAAACACTAACCCCAGCAAATGAAGAATTCAAGCCTGGATACAAGGACAGGTTCCTCCGTCTTGTTGGCTTGTGTATACCATCCTGCTGCAATCTCCTGTTGGGTGTTGATGTCTTACTGGATGGTGTGGATGACTGAACAAAAAACATCACATAAATATGTAGACATTTCAAGTCTTGATAACAAACCAGATGTTATAAATACTAGAAAACAAACACTTCTTGTATATTTATAACAAAGAGCCTGTTTCATCTAATATGACCAAAGTCAATTGCAAGTTCAAAAGCTTAATTTCACTTTCTCTTAATACAAAGTAAGTACCTTATCTTGACTGACAAATTCGGTTGTGGCTGCATCAAGCCTATTTTCTTCACAGTCTGGAGTCATGATAGAATCACCATCCCTGGAACACAGCAGAGAACATGCTTGTAATTACAGGTCTTAGGTTACAAGCAGGTAATCATGGACTTAGGTGGATCAAAGTCAAACCAGACAAAAAACATAATGTCATTCTTCACACTAAATACTTGCTAAATACAAAGTTTCATTATGAACAGAAAAAGTTAAGAAACAGAAAAAAAGGGGCATTTTCAAGATGGCTGACATGACACCTATCCTGTCTGAGGAACATTTTCAAGACGGCTGACATGACACCTATCCTGTCTGAGGGACATTTTTAAGATGGATGACATGACACCTATCCTGTCTGAGGGACATCTTCATGACTGACATGACACCTATCCTGTCCGAGGATCATTTTCAAGATGGCTAACATGACACCTATCCTGCCTGAGGGACATCTTCATGATGACTGACAAGACACCTATCCTGTCTGGGTGACATTTTCAAGATGGCTGACATGACACCTATTCTGCCTGAGGGACATCTTCATGACTGACAAGACACCTATCCTGTCTGAGTGGCACTTTCAAGATGACTGACATGACACCTACTTAGCCTGAGGGATATTTTCAAGATGGGTGACATGACACCTACTCTGAGGGACACTTTCAAGATGGCTGACATGACACCTATCCTGTCTGAGTGACACTTTCAAGATGACTGGCATGACACCTACATAGCCTGAGGGATATTTTCAAGATGGCTGACATGACACCTACTCTGAGGGACACTTTCAAGATGGCTGACATGACACCTACTCTGTCTGAGGGACATCTGTTGTTGGGGCCAGGGACTGGTCAGTAGCTCGCCTCTTGCTTTGTGGAAGTTCTGCATCTTGATGAGACAGAGGAGTCTTACTCCTGGCTTCTATTCTCTGAAAAGTGAAAACAAGAAGACATGGTCATCAATATCCCCCGCCACAGTGTTCTTGTCCTGTTTGGTTCCTGTTTTTTAACTCCATCACAACATTCATGTCCCGTAAACACATACCACATTTGGTTTCCCTATCTATAACAGTTGCTGAGAAAATCTGTTCCCATTGGGGATACCGTGCACTAAGTCTAGAAACGCATGACAAGGGCTGTAAATCTGTAACAAATTGCAACACGGTTCCGTTTTTGAATTCCATCAAGGCATTCATGTCCTGAAAACACATACCACATTTGGTTTCCCTATCTGTAACGGTTTCTACGAAAATCTGTCTCCATTTGGGATACTGTGCACTAAGTCAAGAAACGCATGACAAGGGCCATAACTCTGTAACAAATTGTAACACTGTTTCCGTTTTCGAACTCCATCAAGGCTTTCAAGTCCTGAAAACATATACCAAATTTGGTTTCAGTATCTATAACGGTTTTTGAGAAAATCTGTACCCATCATTTCAGACGGACGGACAGACGGAAGGAGCTCAAACCAATATCCCCTCCCACTTCGTGACGAGGGATAATAATACTTCATGACTACAACTTCCAGTCAATACAGCAGTATTAAGTGACAAGACGAGAGATACGGACAAGAACAACAGTTATGATAACAAAAAGCATTAGTAGATGACGCAAGCTGATGATGCATGATGGCGATGCATGCTTGAGGCAAGACCAAAAGTGTGTTGTGTCCCTTTGACATTCTTTTAGTTGTATCACAGTGCATGGTGGTGTGTGGTCCTGTGCATAGAGCTCAGGTCACAAATCAGGGGAAGTTAATCAATGTTGGGCATGAGTTTCTAGGACTTCAGTCCTGCTTGACTCTTGAGAGTTTCTAGGACTTCAGTCCTGCTCAACAATGAAGCACATGTGATACATGTGGTCTCACCTTAGGCAAGTGAGTTAATTAAAAATGGCCTCTGTTCACCCAGCAGAAGATGGGTACCTGGTGGGATGAGTCATGTGACTATAACATTCTAGCATCTAACAGGCAGCTTGGGTTATCCGGAGTAACAATGTGCTGTGCTTTTCATTGTTAGCGATATGAGCATACCTGGAGTGGAGTTTGGCTCTACATAAATTGACACATTATTATTACATTATTAATGTAGGTCATAGACGCAACCATGTTGTGAAATCCACAATCACAATATTTTGCTAATAGGCCAAGCAGTGTGATTTTCTGAGGTTTTGGGGCCAGCTTTACTTTCCTTAATGAAGGACACGACCATTTTCCTCTACTAACACCTACTTTCACCCTGGGATCACATTTCAGTAAACCTGTCCTGACCCCATGATCCATTCCTGTGGTTCTCACAATCTCATATTACCTTCCTGGATTTACATTTTCAAATTTGCTTGGCTGTGCAACTTGTTCTAACATATCAATTGGAATTCAAGTTACAAACAATCCGCCGTGTAGATTTATCAATATCAACTGGACAACAGCCTGTTCCAGAGGTATAGGGTAATATGAGTTATCTCCCTTGCCCTGTCCATCATGTTGATGTTTGGAATGAAATTCAAGGGCAGGTAATGTGAAATCACAAGAATCAAGGGAATGGATGCAAGGGTTAGTTAAAGTTATCCAAAATTTGATCCCTGGATTTATGGAAATGAACCTCCCTGCAACTGTATATGGCTTACTGAGGCACCAAGACTGAAATGAAGAACCTTAGTCATGCTGGACAAACTGACATCCTGACCCCTGAACCAACCCCAGACATTCACTGAACTGACTGACTGACTGAGTTTAGTTTTACGCCGCTTTAAGCAATATTCCAGCAATATCACGGCGGGGGACACCAGAAATGGGCTTAACACATTGTGCCCATGTGGGGAATCGAACCCGGGCCTTCGGCGTGACGAGCTAACGCTTTAACCACTAGGCTACCCCACCGCCCCGACATTCACTGAAGAGTGAGTGAGTTTAGTTTTACGTCGCTTTTAGCAACATTCCAGCAATATAACGGCAGGGGAAATGGGCTTCACACATTGTATCCATATGGGGAATCAAAGCGAAGTGACAAGCGAAAGCTTTAACCACTAGGTTACCCCTATTCACTGAAGAGTAAGTCTTGATGTTACTGGACACGTACCTCTCTGATCAGAATCTTCCTGCTGGAGCTAAGTGAGCTGGTGATAGGGTTGTTGCGTGTGTTCTTCTGTCGCTTGGAAACACTGACATCCTCTTCTGCCTCCTCCATGGCCTCCCTACTGGGAGCAGATGGACGCTTTAGACTGACCTCATCCAGCTGCATCATCACGCTCTTGTCTGACAGGTCCGGCAGGTTATCTGGCATTGGGGGCAGGGAAGCTGAGGAAGCTGTGGACTGGCTACTTTCCTGCCGCCTACAACAAACACAAACTGTAAAATATTTCCATTTGTTTTTTAACAGGATTTTTAGAACAGCAGACAGTTTGGTGTGGCTGTTTACAATAACAAAAAGTCTGTTTGATATTACTTATGTTAGAGCTTTATTTCACTAAGGCAGTTGTAATTAGTCATCATGTTAGACATGTTTTAAACATTGCATCAGGATTATGAAACTAAACATATTAAAAGGGGGGCCTATGCTAGGTTCAAACTTCATTCTTATGTATTAGTCACAAATTTGATAACTTGCTGAATTTATCAAAATGTCACAGGTGAAGGTTCAGTATATCACAGCTGAACAATATACGATTCAGTTGATGTCAGGGTTCGGCACACAATTCTGCACATTGAGTTGGGTTTTTCACCTCCACTAATATTTCTTGCCATTTCCAATCTTGACATCAATGGTAAGTTTCATCAAAGTGAGAACCAACTACACTGAATCACCTTCTCTTGGCATGTTGACCTGATTCTTCAAAAAGTGTGTCTTCTTCTACGGCAACAACAAGTGATCTTTTCCTGAAAGAAAATAAAAATGCTGTTAGTTGTATGAGTGAGGAGAGGTGAAATTTGGTTAACGTCGTGCTTGAGAATATTTCGCTCATATGACAACGTGCATGCGTGTGTATGTGTATGTGCGGCTGCTTGTACTAGCCCAGACTTAAGGTGGTTTTATAGTGCTAGCCCACTGAGATACCATGCCGTAGTGAAGCATGAATACCCCACTCAGACACATTATACTGACTCCGAGCCGACCAGTCCTTGTTTAAACCATTATGTGTATGGCGTATTTATGAGACTGACTTTACACAAAGATTTTCTCAAAGGAGTCCCCATAGAAACAAATCTAAACTAATCCTATTTTCTTAACTGTCTTAGCACAAAGTACTCTTCAGTTTGTGAAAAGAATTAAGGTTAGAGTTATAACAGGTAAGAGAAAGGGAATGATAAGAAGATAGTGACAACTATTTAATGAAGTTGAAAACATTCAACACCTGTTCACTCATGATTTGCCTCGAGATAACATTGTAATAACAGGCTACAAATGGAAAAAATTATGAAATGATATCAGGTGAATCGTCTCACTGTGCAAGTTAAGCTTTGTTCATTCATTGGTTAAGCAGTGAACAGTATCCCTTCTACCCCATACCACACCCCAAGACTGGCTTCATGTATTACCCTCAACTAAACGATCTTGACACAAATGGCTGACGACACATCCGCACAAAACGGGGGTGTGGTCGAAGCAAGCCCTCTGGTTGGTCAACGCTACTTAATCTGCACATTCTTTATAAATTCTCGGGAATTTTTACTTTCATCGACTGCTTGACTTGGAAGTAATGTAAGATTTTTTCTCCCAAGCAATGGCTTCTCCAAAGAAAGCATCATTTGTAAATGTCTCTTTAACAAACATCAACCAACCAGAGGGCTTGCTTCGACCACACCCCCGTTTTGTGCGGATATATCGTCAGCCATTTGTGTCAAGAACGTTTAGTTGAGAGTCAAAATCGGTTTTCAATCAACTTGCAGAAATAACAATAAAGAACTGGTAGGTGTCATGAGTGGTGCTCGATAGGCCAATCATCCATGATTTTGTTTACATTAAGTTTAAATCGATTGCATGTGATGGTAGTGTAGCAATCGGCAAAGCAGTCGGGTGGGGTGTACCGAAGTGTCTGGCCTTGTCATAATGTATTATACTGTGAAGCATTTCGAGTCGGGGGGTCATCTCAAAATTTTGTATATATTTCATAAAATCTCTAATCATCGCAAAGACAAGAGGGCCTGTGGTATTACCTTCTTTCCCTGAGAGCATTGACGACAGCTTGCGTGTCCACTGGCTTTGGTGTGTTGTCGGTTCTCTCTTTCAATGGCATTAAACTGTGAACAGAAGGAGATACTGATGTGTACGGTACTAAAGAAAGGAGAGAAATTGGAGTGAGTGAGTACGGTTTTACCCAGCTTTTAGCAATATACCAGCAATATCACAGCAGGGACACCAGAAATGAGCTTCACTCATTGTACCCATGTGGGGAACAGACCCCGGGTCTTCAGCATGAAGAGCGAGTACTTGAACCATGGAGAGTGATGGGAGGAGAAAGGCATAGAACCAGTAGGGCTCAATTTATAAATCGATACCAGAACTATTCATAACTTTGATAAAATTGGTAATACATTAGAGACACAGTATTTTATACATTACTCACAGTTCACAGATTTTTAAAACTTCATCAGGTAGAGCTTTGAAATTCCAGTTATAAACTGGACCAAGTGTATAAATGCAACATAACATTGTCATATACCAAAAGCCAGACATCTTTATGACCCACATGATATTCCAACTGCATTTAATACAATCAAAACTCCAATCAAATTCAAAACTTTGGCCTTCTTTTTGAATTCAAAATAGTTCACTGACAATGAATGATTTGTCAAATTTTGTTGGCAGATTCACAAATGAGACAGTACTGTGACATCAGCCTAGCAACAGGGGTGCTGGGGTCATTGAGTGTACAAAAGTTTCTCTCTATGATCTATCACCTCAACACTCATCGAATAATCCCAGTGCTGCTGAGTGATTTAAGTATTTGTTAAAGTTGTTCTGGCAGTTTTTTATGCATGCACACTGCTAATAAACACAGTGCAATAATAATATTAAATTGTGGTATTTTAAATGAGGTAGTAATAATGCTAAATATTGTACGGCACCTCGAAACCAGGTTAAAGCTTGGACTTCTGACACATGTTCATAGGATGAATGCCCGCCTCCCCGCACTGTTCACTGATTTATTCAGCAGAAGGAATGATGATACGGGCCTAGGTGCTTACCTGGTTGGCTGCGCATGCGTAGCAGGGAGGTAACTCCACAGGGTGGGGGCCGTATTATAGATCAAAAAAGATTTTATTTATTGTACAATATTTTTATTAAAACATTGATATAACTGTCACAGGACATTTTCAGCCGCAGAAAATGCATATAAGTACCCCAAGGACGATCTCTATGAAAAAGAATGGGATTCCACTTCTGTGACTAAAGTCATACCAACATCTATAACAGACCCTAAATACCAAAGGCTAACAGTGAAATATCACACTGAAAATCTGGTATGCACCGTACGATATATGATACATATTGTTTTCCATACATCAGAAACAAACCACATATCCTTCACTTATTAAACAAAAATTTTCCCTCTTAGCATGATTAGTCTAAACTTCCCTTTCCTGACATATCAAGATATGTACTGTATCATGATGAGTATCACATCCAGTGTATCAAGAAACTAGTGTTGGGAATCGGAAACTAAATCCACTATCGATTATCAGATGACTTGTGATGAACGATTATCGATTATAATCGAAACATATACATTTTAATGCAATCACAAATTTGTTTTCTAATTAATGTTTTTAATAACTAATACTGTCATGCAATGAAATGCACACATGCAAGAAAGACACTTGAACTGTTATTAAACAATGAAAGTGGTTAAAATTTTACAATGCACATAGCTTTACGCTGTTGAGCGCATGTTTGTTCGTGAATATTCGTCAAAATTAATGGTTAGTTTGCTTCATTCAAGTGTGTTATACTAAAACAACAAAATTCTGATTAATCAAAAATATGTTTTATACAATCGATAATCATTTTTAATCCTTCTTTCGATCGATTTTCGATTTTTTTCGATTATCGGAACACCACTACACGAAACATATTCTATCACAGTCTTCATTATCATTAACATATGATTAAAATCCTAACATTACTGTAGAATTGAGTCATCCTGTTTGTGCTTACCTTGGGGAGAGAACTCTATGTGGATCAGGTGGAGCTACCCGTACAGTGTTTTGATGTTTGAAGGAATTGATGTCGGCCTTGTATAGGGAATGTCGATCTCTCCTGCCGAAGCGTACCCATGGCAAGACTCCAGGTGATGAATCTACAGGATGTGTTGGAGTGAAGTGGAACGTGTTGGCTCGTCTGACTGGTCGGCTTCGAGTGCCACTAGCAAGTGGGGAATTGACATCCGGGCTAGAAAATGAAAGAGAATAGAACACTATCATTGACTATGATTACCAATACATATGTGGCAAATATGTTTGATAAATGAAACCAGTAAATAGTAGGGCTGCAACGAATACACTATGTGGCGAATATGATATTTATCATGAATATTGGGTAACGAATACGAATAATTATTCACAAATACAATATTGTAGTTAAGTGATTGACGCACAATATGGAATGCCCATTTTGACAGTGTTAATTTGTAGCAGCAATAACCAATTATCTCATGACACTCAAATTTGGTATGTAATAGTTTATAGGGGACTGTACCATGTGAAGCCTTGGCAAACTAACATGACTTGTGCTACTGCAAGGCTAGTACATATTCCATAATTGCATATCTCACTTTGAAAAAGAACATAAGGGTTCAAGCAAAACACACTCCCTTAAAAATTGTAAATATTCGTTAATATTCGGTTCTGGTGACCACAAATAATGAATTGAATTCATGAAGGGCCTCGGTTCGATTCCCCAAATATGCGAGTGAATCATAACAGCCTTTGTAAAAAGATGAATTACCGAATGTGAAAAGGACAGGAAAACTGTGACAAAAGTGAAACTGGCACAGTTAGACACAGCCACTGGCCATGCGTTTCATGAAAACATGGGAAAACCTTTAATTTTCACAAAGACTAGTAATCTAACAAAAATAACACTGGTCAGAAAATGTGAAGTGGACAAGTTAAATCACCACCTGGCATTTACCAGAAAAGCTAATATCAATGGGAAATGGCATCTAATACAGACCTGTTTTTGTTTGTTACAATGTTTATAGTCTTCTCCACTTATTTCATTATAACCCTTCACAATCTTAAATGTGGTAAACTACAGGGAAAATGAAATCAACGATTCAGGACATTAACTGTCCCATCATCATGGTCATCAGATAAAGGACTTCTACTTCAATTTACAAGAAAAAAGGTAAGAGTTCTGCCCGTAATAACCGCTTGAAATGTATTCTGTTTATTATGATTATTTCAAGAGTTAGGGTTTAGGTTTAGGGTTTAGATTTAGCATTATGTTAGGGCTAGGGTTAGGGAAGGCCTTCTATAAAAAAAACATCTATTCTTACTATAAATCTTAGGCATAGAATGATAAAAAAAACACTGGGGGTTACGGGTGGAAATCTTTCCAGAAAAAGGTTGTTCCCAACTGTGCAACTGCAACTCGCTTGAAAAAACAGTAAATATGTGTGTGAACATAGTTACATCAAGACTGTGACTCAAATAGTGTTGCCTCAGAACTCTCAGAAGTTCAGTGTAATGCAGGGTTTTACATGACGTGGGATTCCTGCGTATTTGACGCAACAATTTAGTTAAAGACTCTCAAAATATTATCCTACGAGTCAAGCTTGACGCAAGTATTATGAGTGACCCTCAGAATTCTGTTCAGAGTCAATAAAATCGATTTGATAGCAACAATGATAGTTTTTGTGAGGTCTTCATTAATTTAGATATTTCTTTCAATTCATGTTTGTTACAGTGAATAAATCACAAGCCTGATTATGTGTTCAGTATACTGGAGTTTGTTATGAATGAACTGAACAGTGAAAAATATACTATTTATTAACTAACAACTACATGACAATACAACACAAAACAATAAAATATTTGCAAAACTCTTGCTTTTATATATACACACATAAGTATTACACTAAAAGTTTCACGACTCTAAGGAGCAAAATGGTAATATCGACATACCTGAAAGTGTCATTGTGTCCAGAAGTGTTCGCTACAGCTCTTTTTATCATGGGCATTAATGGGGTGGACAGCAGTGGACCAGATGCATTCAACACTGACACACTTGTATTTAAATCTCCAGTTGATACATTTCCACTAAGGCCCCTCTTTGGTGACTTTGGACTTGACACAGATATGGGAGCTGGTGAATTCAGTGCGTTAGATCTCTCTTTTTGCTTACTCTGTCCAAATTTAGATTTTTTGGTTCTCCTGGCAAACTTGGATCTCATCACTGGTCGCGATCCTGATGTTTGGCCGTCTTTTCCCTTCCACAACCATTGCAAAGGGTTCCAACTCTCAAACATGTTTGGAGTTTGGTTTCTGAATAAAGGTTTGTGAAGAACAGTGCCGATATATCCTGTGGTTTCTCTGATATGGTCAGCGACCGGTGCCAGGTGCTCTGAAAGTCTTACCGGAAGAAGACCGGTCCATTCTCTACCCTCGACCAATAAAAACACGCATAAAACAGTCAAAATATATAAAAACAGCGTTGTTTTAAAACCAAACACGATACAAGATAACAACGTTAAGAAAACAGCAGTTAAAACAGTAGAAAAATTTAAAGACATTATTCATAAAACTTTCGCATTCTCCCGGTGCGTTCGACACGAGAGTATCCGGTCGGACAACAGAAACGAACGGTGAATTCATCAGTTGGTGGAAAACATATTAAAATTTTATTACCATTGTTTTCACTTATTTCTAAAATGTCATTTCATATATAATATACAAAGCAAAAAAAATCCATCAAGCATTTACTTGTTTAGCAATATGATAAATTTAAACCTCTCCGCACTTCCAGATTTAGGAAAATCTGATTGGCCAACATCGTGCGCTGACACTCGCAGGCGCACTTTTCAAACCCGGAAGGTACAATGACTGACAACATATTGTAAATACTGAACCTTTGGATTCTATCGGCGCATTTTAGATGCACCGATGCAATTGTGCATTTACGCTAGTAATGCAAATCATTTATGATTGATCGTGTGACTGTTTTGACAAACCTCAAATGACCCTAACTGGCCTGTTTATTTTCTGTGTATTTTGGCCAAATAAATCGTGCCCGTATATGATAGATGGTTTTGCTTGTTTGTTTCTCTTTATGCCAATGGCAGTAGATTGATAATTACATCCCTACTACCTTGTTCCAGGAGACAAATTTCAAGATGTTTGAATTCCAAATCCCTGTGTCCCGAGACGACCTGCTAACCAAAACAAGTGTGAACCAATACTCCGTGGAGGAGATTCTGACACACAGACTAGTTCAAGGAGCTCTTCAAGGTATGTAACGCTCGGACACTACTGCGATGCCGATGAGAGATTTGAATGTTCCTGTTTGATTGTAGAATAAACAGCACTGGTATCAAGGAAATTGTAATCCAACGAGCTTGACGGTTGACCGACTGTTCCGAGACAACATAGTGTTATCTAAGATTACATGTCTATCTTACATAATTAATCATAACAGTAACAAACTGGTCGACACAAGGATTCGAATTACCACTTCTCATCGACACCAGTTAGACGAGTATTGCATTATCTATAAGTAGAAATGTCAGAAAGCATAATCTCAAAAAAAACAATAATGTCTCTCAGCTGATGTGCCAAAATATCTTTATCATGTTTTATGTTAACTGACCAAATACAGGCATCACATACACATAGATTTACTGCAGTTAATACTGCACTAAATGTTTTGTTGTCATGGTAATGTCTCACATATTGAAACTGTTGTAACATGTGATGTCATGTTATGGTTCAAAAATGTATGTAAAAAGTCATCTCCCTTTTAAAAATACTCAGTGGACTGGAAACTACAGAGTAAATATGCACGTACATTCAACACGCAGTAAAACCTCTCAATACTTTAGATAAATGATAAGATGTTATACTTGAAATATTATCTGGAGCCTGATGAAATGACCTTGAAATCAAGAAGATAGTTAAAACAGTAACTTGTCAAAAAAGGTTAGGTGTACTCCATTGCACAAATGTATATGAAGCATGGATCTAGATCTGCAACAGTAAAACAACTTATGTTGGTTATAACCCCTTTTAACTGTATTGGTTTCACTGTGTACTGGTTGAAATCAAGTGCCAAGTTATTTGGACATGTGAAACATGTATACTTTTCTCTAAATTTCAGATTTTAAATATGCCATCCGGTCCAACTCTTTTGCTGTCATCGATAATTTTGACTCACTCTTCAGCATCTTGTGGTTAGTATCCAGTTGTACTACTTAACAAATACAATATGAAGTCTGGATGTCTGTTTCCAGTCTGTCAATTTAGCCAATTGTATCAATCTTTGAGGATGCTAAAATGTCTTTCTGTTCTGTAAACTCAGCAAATATAATTCCATTCATTAAAACCAAATCTTCAAAATGTGTTGGCAAATCACAACTTGATTTCCATTTTTTAAACATCATATTTGTCAACAGTTTGGGAAAGAATTGCTCTTATTCCATTTGTTATATGTATATTTGAGCTTGAGTTTCAACTGTATATACTTTTTGGCTGTTGTATTTTCCAGTCTACAGAGGGATCTTGATGCTGCAGTGAAGGAGGAAACATGGGACTGCTTGTTGAAAGGTGTGTATGTGTTGTATGGACTCCTGAAGATCCTGTTAGAATTGGTCTTCACCAACCCATGCTTTTCGTAAAAGGCAGCTATTATGATTGGGTGGTCAGACTAGCTGATTTTGTTTGCACAAGTCATATTATCCCAACTGATCACTGGATTGACTGTTCCAGACTTGATTATTTACAGACCGCCGTAATACAGCTTGAATATTTCTGAGTGCGGCTTTTCAACAACAGACAAACCAAATCACACTTATGTCTTCCAAAGGCAAGGGAGCTAACTGACTGAACTAATGTTTCCATCCTTGCAGAACTATGCTGGAATTTTGTGGCTTGATGATTATTCCACCCATTACAAGTTGTGTGACTCATGCGTCATTCTTATTGACCAGTCAGATTCAAACTCTTACACTGCTAGCAAAATTTGCACCCAGATATTTTGCTGTTGATAATTTTTCCTTATCCTGACTCATGCTTAATTGCTTGTCTCCTTCTTCTTGCGAATGATACTAGTGGAACACTTGAATCCCCTTTTGAAGCTCCCTTTAAAAAAGCGGACGTAAAATCACTCACCTAGTGTTACCTCCCTTAGGTATATTAGGTGTTTGGTATCTGTCACATAACCAAACACGCTCTTCGACACAGACAATGACAGAATGACTATTACTGTTCATGTCATGAAAAGTTATGAAGCAAAATAAAAATTATCTTATCATAACCAGAATATTTTTGTTGAAATGATGTTCTAAATCATCAATACCCTAACTCGAGCATTATATATAATTTAGTTTTGAAGTGCAACCTGTATTTGTCTGGTGCAACAAGGTAATTATCATCTGAAGTCTTACCAACAAGGTTATTACCTAAGGTTGCAACAGGTGCATGTCTCTATTCCATAAATCCAGCCCTGCACTTACTTTCAGTTGAAGAAAATGTAAACCCAGAAATATATATATATTTACTGTTTTTGAAGCTACCCGTGGTGTAGCAAGTCAGGTGTCCAGTGTGGTGGAAGAGACCGGTATTGACCCCGACACCCGTGCCCGCAACCTGAATCTGGTCAAAATGACTGTCTACCTCCTGTGTCAGTTCATTGAGATGTTTGAGACTGACTTCCACAAAGCTAATGCTGTACAGATCAACGTCACCAAGGTAAACAGTTTGGGAAACATTTAGATACAAGGGTTACCATGCTTACAGCGGTATACAAATACTTAATCTTTGTGGGTCAGAATGCAAAAACAAGGACCCAGGGACTGGATCCCCGAGGGATAACGTCTCATTAAAAGTTGTATGGTGTCTTTTATACTGAAATTAATGTATACAGTGTTTATGTTTGAGGACTTCACCCCATTGTATTGTGAAAACAAATACCTGAGTATCTGAGTTGTGTAGATTAGTGGTGGTCCGATTAATTGAAATAATCGAAGATTGGTCGTAGTGACTAAACGACCAAGCAATCGATCATAATTTCTAATTATCGAACACAACCAATTTGGGAACACTTGTTTTCATTCACAATATTTTTCACATGGTTGGTTTTGTCTGTTACATTTGTAAGCACTACAAGCTCGTTTCAAGTCATGATTGAATTTATCTTGAAGGCTCCAAGAAATTTATGTTCCTAACATACTAGTCATCCTTTAAAATGTGAAATTTTGCCAAAAAGCCCCAAAAGAACTACTTGTTTTTTACCTTACTTTTATGTGCATTAACAAATTTCATAAATGATGTTAACCAATTATTTTCGATGATTGATCGGTTGTAATGAACCAATCATCAATTATGAGATTTTAACCAATTCCCAACACTAGTGTAGATCCATGCTCATGATGTTGATCAATGGAATTATTTACAGACTGCCACCTTGAATGTTGCAGTGTGGGTTAAATGACAAACAAACAAGATGAGCATTAGAATCCATGTTATATCATGTGATGTGATTTGCTGAATGAATGAATGAAGTTTACCGATAACAGAAACGTTTTCAATCCATACTTATCTTGTGGTCATGTTCACTTTGTCACCAGGGTCGAAAGTCCCAGAAGAAGCGTGTGGATTCAGGAATTGACTGGGAGCGTGAGCGAGAGATGGGGGGTACACGCCCTACTTCAGATCATACAGCTCAATCTCCCAAAGCTCTGGGACCCACCCATCCCAGAGGAGGAGTTCGTAAGGTCAGCCATCTTGTTTTATGAATCAGTCTAAACCAGTGCACCTGTATTAATGTTGCAAGCCACCTTAACATTTTCTGAAAGTTGCCAATAGGTAATGGCATCTTAGATTCTTAGTGTTGAAACGGTAGCAAGCATACACTTCTGGTTTAGAAACACTGCCAAAACAGCATGGTCGTTTTGATTTACCAATTACAGGGGCGGTGGGGTAGCCTAGTGGTTAAAGCGTTGGCTCGTCACGCCGAAGACCCGGGTTCGATTCCCCACATGGGCACAATGTGTTAAGCCCATTTCTGGTGTCCCCCGCCGTGATATTGCTGGAATATTGCTAAAAGCGGCGTAAAACTAAACTCAGTCAGTCAGTCAGTACCAATTACAATTCACTCAGCGTCAGATAGGCCTACTAATCACCACCAATACCCTGCTGATCAGTCATTAATCTGGATTAGCAGACACATGGGACACTCACGCTTCACTTCACATAGTCAGCGGAAGATCAATGCTTTGTGCGGATAAGTGAGTCATTTTGTTTTCAGAAGAAGTCCTCCTTGGGGATAAGTGAGTCAATATTGTGTTGATTCAGCCGGTTGGTTTTAAAATTTACCGTCCGGAATCGGAAACCTTTTTAACATAAGAGATTGTTGTTGGTTTTTTTTATCAAAATTGACTGGAAGGCGAGGTTTCCGGATATTTGGGGTGCAGGTATCGGGGGTCTCACTGTATTTGATTTCAGTTGAAAAGGTCTTATGATGATTAATGAATGTTGTCACTGTCATTTGTGGAACTCTGTAGGTGGAGGGCGTCAAGTAAACTTTCTGATCATTATTGAGGTCTGAGTGACACATAAACATACATATCTCATTTCTGTCTCTCAAAACAAATCTATATGAGTAGTTTCAAATGCATAAAACACAATCACAACTATTTTGTTGCGGACTTTATACATTATGTCGTTCATGTGCACCATGATGTCCACATCCCAGAGGGTGGAGTGTCTAGGTATATTTGTGTTCTTTGTTTTTTGCTCAAAACATAATTTTTGAACTTATCCTATCTCATGGTATGCATTCTCTCTCTTGATTTGACACTTGAGAGTGGAACGATGTAACTTTTTTCTCCCTAGGCTTCTCTTGTCCATCCGTCCAAGCACTCCATGCTACCCTCATTATAAGACAGCTTCCTAGTTGTCATGCAAGGCATGCGCCACAAGCTACCCACGTGACTATCTCTGAATCATCATTATTCTTCTTGTCGCACATGAGTGTGAACGTGTTTTGCTTTACTCAATGTTGAAAACATTAGTCTACAACATGGGGAAGTTGACCAGCCCAAAAAGAGGAAGAAATGTTCGCAGTGTAATAAGGTGATCTCTGCGAGTGATCCACATATGTTTTGTGTTGACTGTGTGGGACATTTAAATGGGACTGTCGTTGCGATAAATGCAAGAATCTTACCTTCGAAGCTTTTGGTGATTACACTAGGGCTTGTGCTCGTCGTGTTGCTGACAGCAACGGACGGACCCAGTCCCACCAAGAAAGGCAAGTTTAAGCGTCCTACTTTGTCTGCTCGTCGGTCACAGTCCCCTCCCTTGAATGAAGAGGATTTCATGAGAATGTCTTATTTATCTGAAGACCTTCAGAAACTGCTTGGCTCTCAACATTCCAGCCCGAGTCCTTCGTCTTCGACCACATCCCGGGTAGTGGTTGTCGAGCGTGTTACCACCCCTCAGGATACTTCTGCACAGCGGGACCTTAGAACTACGCTCTCTGTCTCTCATTCACCGGACCAGTTATCAAGGCAACCTGGATTATCTGTTTCGGACAAGAATCAGCTTATCTCTAAGCCTGGCTGCCCAGAGCGCATGTGCCATAGCCGTTCTTGCTCTCGTCGTTCGTCCAGCAGTGACAGGAATCAGTCTACCTCGCCTAAACGCCTGCTAGTGGTTGCTTCGCCGTCTATTTCCCATTCAGTGAATAGAAGTGTTGTCTCTTGCATCCAACTACCTTGGTCTTCTACTTCTCCGAAGCCTGCCAGTTCGTCGAATCACAGTTCAACAGATCACGCTTCGCCTGTCCGTACCTCTCCACCTTAACTTTCGCCGGAACGTCTACCTTCGCCGAAACAGCACTCGTTGAACCAGTTAGACTGGCTCCCTACGAAAAAGCTCTCGCCGAACCTGTCTTCATGGAAACGGCAGTCTACTATTCAACATTCACCGGATCGGTCTTCTTCCAAACAGGTTTCACCGAAATGGACTTCGTCGAAACAACATTCGCCAAAACAGCAGACTTCACCGAAATGGCATGACATGGTGAATCGACTTTCGCCGAAACGGCTTTCCTCAAATCGGAACGCCCTTCTCCGGATCATCTGTCTCTGAGTACTTCCCCGAACTCTGTTGGATCTTACAGTCACGTCTCTTCAGCACGGACGCGGTTTTCACCAAGTCGTTTGGACCAGTCTCCTATTATTCTTCGGATTTGTTCACCGGATAGACCTGGTAGGTCTACTCTTCACAACTCTTCGACTCGTTCGCATTCAACTAAACACATGCCTTCATCTACTTTGTTGAGATCAGTTCTTCGCTGGAAGTCACCACCTCGGACTTCGTCTTCTCGTCATTATCTGCGCACAACCTAGATCTCCTACACGATCGACTGCTGTCTATCGTTCAAGATACAGGGATCATCGTTCTCGTTGCGATACCTCCCCTCCTCGCTCCCGATCTCCTCAGCGGACTTGTTCAGCCTTTTTAGTTGAGGACAGAGAACTGTTTCACATGGACACAGCTATTCGTCGCTCCTTACTCTCGATCAACTGCATCATCTTGGAGGTGGATGCGCTTGCGGCATCAGTGGAGCACTCTTTCACCGTCCAGGATGCTTGCATCAGGGGCTGTATGTCCCTTATACTGAACCAATTTCAGATCGTACTGGACCAGCTGTCTCATTTCCTTGGTTATCTCCTGGCAGTTCATCGTCGCCATGGGATCGACAGGTTTAAGGCTGAACTCTTCCGTGGATCGGGACATTTAGTTTCAAGTTTAGGTGGAATTATTGAAACTCCAGAAATCCCATCTGCAAGTGTCCATGATACAGAGACGGGCTCCGTGGTCTGTGCCATCTCATCTGGAACTTCTTCAGGGTTTTCATGGTCATTCGTCCTGAGCTAGAGGTAGCAGGTCCTCCCGTGGCACCTCTTCCAGACGTCCTCCCAAGTCCGACCCCGGGGCTGGGAATGTGGTCCCCAAGCAGTGACTCGTCGAAACAAGGGCATGACTGGGAACTCCCGCCTCATTCCGTCCCCATTTACGACTCTCCAGTGGGCGGGAGATTAGGGAGGTTCGCTCCCAATTGGACCATCCTTGACGATCCTTTTGTGACTGACCACCCCGCCAAAGGCTATCAACTTCCAGTGATCGGACGCCTGCCTCTGACAGTGCATCCGGTACATCGCAGTTACCCGGTGGACCAGATCCAGTTTCTTTGCTCCACCATTGGTACACTCCTAGCAAAATGTGCAGTCCAGTCTCTCAGTCCGGCGCCCAGCACTCCAGGGTTCTATTCCCCCATCTTTCTGGTTCCCAAGAAAATCTCCATGGAATCTAAGACTCATTTTCAACATGAAACTTTTCAATGCACACTATATCCAACGCCCGCCTCACTCAGGATGGTATCAATCGTCCTTCTTCGCACTATCCTGAAGAAAGAGGATTTTCTTGTCAGCCTAGACCTTCAAGATGCATATCTTCATGTGCCCATTCATCAGGATTTGCAGAAATTCCTCCGGTTCGTGTTCCAAGGGATCCATTATCAATGGACCGTCCTGCCTTTTGGAATTTCCACGGCTCTGTCTACTTTACCAGGATGGCTCATTTACCAGGATCACCAAGAGAGACCAGTCGCTCTTCTACGATCAGTATGAAGCTTCTCCAGCAGCTGGGTTGGCTGTTAAACACTTGATCTCCCGACCAAGTTCAATTCATCGTTGTGTTTTCCAAGAGATGTACATAGTTCCGTTAGCACTGAGGACATGCATTCAGGCACAGAGACTCCAGTCTGAAGGAGTTGATTCTTTCCACCACAGAACCCTTAGTATTTGTCCTCTTCAGTTGGAGTTCAGTATGAAGCTTCTCCAGCAGCTGAGTTGGCTGTTACACACTGCACCGTGAGATAGGATAAGTTAAAAAAATTAAAATTTTAAATAGAGATTGTATATTTATATGCTTATCCTATCTCATGCGACAGATTCCAGCCCATCCTCACCACTATGCAGATTCTCCCCAGATTGATATTATGCAGTGGCTCCAAGAATGAGAATGATGATTCAGAGATAGTCACGTGGGCAGCTAGTGGAGCATGCCACATGCTATGCATGACAACTAGGAAGCTGTCTTATAATGAGGGTGGAGTGCTTGGGAGGAAAAGATTACATCTTTCCACTCAATGTCGAATCAAGAGAGAGAAGTGCATACTGTGAGATAGGATATACAATTTATATTTAAAATTTTCAAATTTCCTATTTGAGGTGGTAAAGAAATTGACCTGCATTTTTCTAGAAATCATTCTTGCTTCATTTGGTAAGAGTGGTGAAAGTTTGTTCGGGATTCAATGGATATTACATGCTATAGAGGTGTAGACAGATCTTGATGCAGATCGATATCAAGTTGAGTAAGATTGTAGAGAGTTGTGAAGATATAAATGAACATGTATTTTTTCTTCTCCACAGTTTAGTGAGTAACACATGCTACAAACTGCTGGAGAATCCTGGAATATCCAAGGTGAAGGACACAAGGGAAACAATTTCTCACATTCTTGGCTGCCTGGTGAAGAGATATAACCATGGTCTCGGTAAGTGTGATCAGTAATTTACATCTGGAGACAAAAATCCAAGGCATTTACATTTGGACCAAGATATTGATGATATGTGACACTATGCCATGATGTCGTGTGCGTGCTCATGTATGTGTGTGTTTGTGCTTGCATGTAGAATGTTCACTTTTTTCCCTCTTGTTGAATGCGCTTTATTACTTAGCAACTTCTCCACAAATGGCCATCTGTATTCAAGGGTTAAGGAAAAGCCTTGTGATTGGCAAGCCTCTCAGTGAACATGTATTCAAAGAGACCCAGTATTGCCCTCAAAGTGAAAATTGAGCCAGCATAGCTCATTCGATGCAAGTGAAAGTGACTCTGTATTGCCCTGAAAGTGACCCAGTATTGCCCTGAAAGTGAATGTTTTGCCCTGGAAGTGACTGTATTGCCCTAAAAGTGACTCTGTATTGCCCTGAAAGTGAATGTATTGCCCTGGAAGTGGCTCTGTATTGCCCTGGAAGTGACTGTATTGCCCTGAAAGTGAACCAGTATTGCCCTGAAAGTGACCCAGTATTGCTCTGAAAGTGACCCAGTATTACCCTGAAAGTGACTCTGTACTGCCCTGAACATGACCCAGTATTGCCCTGAATGTGACCCAGTATTGCCCTGGAAGTGACTGTATTGCCCTGAAAGTGACTCTGTATTGCCCTGAAACTTACCCCATAAGTGAATCAGCATTTCCCCAGGAGTAATCCAATATCCCTACAAATGAACCCGTGTATCTCCTGTGTTGTAGGAGCCAGTCTGAAAGTGATCCAGCTGCTCCAGCATTTCGAACACCTGGTCTCACCATTGTCACTCACAGTGGAGATGTTTGTCAACCATTATGGAGCCAATTTTTCCTTATCCTGACTCATGCTCTTTTGCTTGTCTTCTTCTTCTTGCGAACATAGTGGAACACTTGTATCTCCTTATTTGAAGCTCCTTCAAAATAAAATCACTAATTGGTACTCACCACGAGTTGCTCCCCTTTGTCTCCCCTGGCGGAAAAGGTGTAAGCCACCCTCTGGCCATGTGCTTCACTCTCTCCTTCTTAGCCCAGTGAGCAGGATGTGAGAGCCTTGTGTCTCCTTACACACATATCCTTTGATAATCTCTTAGTTTTACCTCTCATAGGTTACTATAGAGGTATAGCTAGTATCCTTTACTATTTGTATTGATTAATTATCATTATTTCTACTGTTTATTCCGTGTATTAAGTGATTGTTCAGCTAACTTTACGTTCATGAAAATCTGTGCGATTTGTAGATTACGTTTTCTGCCTCCGATCCACATGTAATATGCCCTAGTTGTTCTCGCCCGTGTGTGCGTTTAATTCCGCGTTGCAGTTACTGCATTAATTTATCTCATTCTGCATTTAATAAATATCATCTTTCGTCTTAAGGCGTGCTGCAGATAGATCACGCAAACAAAGGCAAAACATGGCAGAGAGTCCAGATATTCCTTCCAGTCAGCTGCTAGCGATCGACCCTCTCCGTCTGGTGTTCTGCTAGAGACCCCTGCGGCAGAGGCGCGTGGGGCCAGATCCGTTACCTCGAAGAAGCGACCGGCCTCCCCAGACATCCCGTCATTGCAGACTAAGTCTAAGAGGGCCTCATCGTCGTCTCAAGCAGATTGAGGACACCCAGGGCAGCGCCAGACTTCCAAAGGGAAATCTACGAAGACAGCAAGAACTTTCTCAGCCGAGATCGTTCCAGCAGCAGAGTTGGGCCTCTCGATGATCAGCCGATAATCATCCCGACTTCTGGCAGAAGAAGCGACCCGGTGTCAGCGACTGTGACTTCTGCAGAGATCTCCATGCAGCCTGATGCCTCTACACCGGCGTCAGGCGTCATTGATGTGAACCCCATGCGCAGAAAAGGCGCCGGCGACCGTCTCTGATCATCCCAGAAGACATGATCGCGGCAGATTATGAACATCATGGAGGACCACTACAAACTGCGCCAAGCGAAGTCCGAGCCCAGCGAAGGCTCCAACGTGAACAACAGCACCCCAGAGGCACCCCGTCAGCGTAGCAGCCAAGGCGATGTCACCTTCGCGAAGGAAGTCCGCACCACCTTGGCGAAGGACCTAGATGTACAGCCTTCGAAGGCCTTAGCGGCGGAGAGATCATCACCATCTTCGATTTCATCTCTAGATATGGACTCAGACCATCAGACATCACGGAAGCCTTCCGAAGGTCATATCATCGATCCCCGGACGGGCGCAAATGAAGCTTGAAGGCATTCGCGAAAGACATATGATTCCAGATCTTCATCGTCTAGAAGAACATCGAGGGACTGCCGAAGAGCTTAGCGAAGCTATCAACATTCACCTCACAAGTCTCGAGAAGATCATCCCATAGGCGATCTCCACTCCGTTCATCACCAGGTCGATCACCCATCAGATCTCCACATAGAAGCGGCGCAAGTCAACTAGATCGCCACAAACCTCATCAGATATTCAGACAGCTACGCGGTCGAAGAGCATCTACAATTTATTAATGATGATGGTTTTGAGGATGATGGAGGAATCATATTTTCTGATGCAGAATCACGGTATTGGATGGTCAATAACCTAGATCTCACATCACCATCTAAAAGTGGCAATACAGCTCAGGCGTATTTGATGAAGGAAGATGATCCAGATGCAATCACTCTACCCCGATCGACCCGATTGCGGCAGTGCCACAGAATCTAGATGCAGCTTTCCAGAAAGCTCACGAAAGTTCAGATACCACATCTACCCAACTTTCAAGCCAAGAAGTTCTCCACGCATAACATGGACTCCTTCTACAAGGCCCAGGACATCGATGAGAACTATAAGATCATCAGCGATGTAAAGAACAAGATTTACAAGATGGATGATGCAAGTTGGCTCATATAGAAACCATGGCCGAGGCGTATGTTCTTTGGGTTAAATAGATCTAGGGCGATCAATGAGACTCTTATTACTAGATTCGGGGATTCCACGGAGGAAGATGATAGAATGATTTATTCTGCCTTACTTATGCAAAGAAAGATCAGCAGTTTTAGCGGATCATCTTACATCTGTTTCAGCAGCACTGACCTTAGCTTCGTCGTCAAGGCCTCCTGCGCCTCCTGTAATTGGGGGAGAACTTTACAGCCCACTTTATACAGCCCGTGGTCGACAACATCCATCTTTGGCGAGAAATCGACAAGGTTAAGCCAAGGAAGTCTCTAAGGATTCCAGGGAAGTCCTTATGATTAGATCGATGGACACACTAGCCAGCGTCATTAGTCAGACTTCACAAAGATACTCAGGCAGATCTAAGTTCACGGGCCTACAAAGAGCAAGAGACAGGAAGATAGCCAGCTCTAGAGGTAAAGATTCTTTTAAATTAAGCCCATATGGCAACTATAGAGGAGGATCAGGAAGAGGCAGGACACCCAGAGGTTCCCGCAATTATAGGCAGCTGAAACACAGGTTGGAGCGACTGGAGTCTTCCACCCCAGCCGTTCCAGTACAACCAGCTCAAGTGGGTGGGCGCCTCCAACTACACTGGGAAAACTGGGAATACTGCAAGATCCTTCGTCTCCAACATTATTCAACCGGTTTTAGTATCCCTCTACAGGACAAGCCTCCGCTGACAATCAAACCCCCCAAGTTCGATTTACAAGCGCAACAACTACCAAAGATAAAAGAGGCTGTCTCATCACTCCTATCCAAACAGGCCATAGAAGTAATAGATCAAGCAAACGTCGAACCAGGTTTCTACTCCCCAGTTTTCCTAGTTCCCAAGAAAAACTCCACGGAGAAATACAGACTCATCTACAACATGAGCTTTTTCAACAAGAACTATCTACGCAAACCACCGAAGTTTCGCATGATACATTTACCTCAGTTACGCCAGATGATTCGTCCTATGGACTACATGGGCAGCATAGATCTACAGGATGCCTACTTGCACATCCCCATTCATCCCGATTCCAGGAAATACCTACGATTTACTCTAGAAGGGCTACATTACCAGTGGAAAGTACTCCCATTCGGAATATCATCAGCCCCCTGGCTATTCACGAGGATAACGAAACCGATTATCAAATTTCTACATCGTCAAGGGCTACGCAGTGCGTTTTACCTCGACGACGGGATACAAGTAGATCAAGATCCACTGCGTCTCAAACTACAGTTAAATTACATCATAAAGCTACTAACACAACTAGGTTGGTTAGTAAACTTACGCAAGTCGGACCTAGTACCATCGCAAGACCTACAGTTCCTAGGTATTCGATTCATCACAAATCGCAACCGTATTATGGTACCAGAAGACCGTTGGCTCAAGATACAACAGACCATTCCACCAGCTCTACTCTCTCCGTTACCACTGCGACAATGGCAGAGCCTACTAGGTCTTCTCACATCAGCCCAAGACATGACTGTCACAGGCAGATTACAGTTACGTCCCCTACAGGTCCTCATCAACGCACATCTCAACGATGTACAACCATTCAGTCTACCGAAACATCTCAGACCACATCTACTATGGTGGACCAAGAAATCGAATGTCTGCGAAGGGATTTGTTTAGCAGAGCAGGAATACAAAACCCATCTGTATGTAGACGCGTCACTCCAAGGTTGGGGAGCTCATCTCACCAACCACACGATATCAGGGTTATGGAATCAGCAAGAATGCAAACTCCATATAAACAGTCTAGAAATGAAAGCTGTAATCAACGCCATTCTACATTGGAGCACATTTCTACAAAATGCGCGCCTAATGATCCATACAGACAATTCGACAGTGGCGTTCTACATAAACAAGCAAGGCTCAACGAGATCGATGAACCTTTTGAACCTAAGCTTTCAACTGTTCGATTTAATACAAGATCTAAATCTACATGTCAGAGCAGTGCACATTCCCGGAGCCAGAAATATACTAGCAGACGCTCTCTCTCGGCCTCATCTACCATCACCGACAGAGTGGATGATCAACCGGGAAATTTTTGCACAGATAATCAAGCAATTAGGAGCGCCGCTAATAGACCTATTCGCCACGCGATTCAACAATCAGCTACCGACATTCGTGTCACCAGTCCCAGACCCCCAAGCTTGGGCAACGGACGCTCTAAGTCTATCATGGGAAGGCCTCAATGCGTACGCGTTTCCGCCGCCAGCAATAATACCTCAAGTATTACAGAAAATCAGACAAACACAGAGCCTACAACTCACTTTGGTCGCGCCCTACTGGCCGGCCAGAACGTGGTTTCCCATACTAATTCAAGAAATCGGTCAACCAACACTGGAGCTACCCAAGCGCGCAAACCTGTTAATTCATCCTCACACCAAACAAGTGCACGGAAACCCAGCAATGTTCCAACTACACGTATGGACTGTATACAAATGTGTTTAAACAAGAGAGGATATTCTGCCAGGGCGGCAAAAGCAGTCACGCTTGCCTTACGTTACTCAACTCGTAACTTGTACGACGACAAGTGGCACAGTTTCGAAAATTATGCAACAAAGAAAGGGTTTACAGCAAGAGAGGCTTCACAACCTCAAGTGGCAGACTATTTGTGTTACCTACGCCAAAACAAACATTTAAAAGGTTCAACGATATCAACATATCTTGCCGCGCTTAGCTCTGTAATCACCATGAGAACGGGTGTCAAATTGACAAGATCTCCAGAGTTACTGGCCTTACTACGAGCTTTCCGATTGGAGGACCAAAAGCGGAAGTTCCACGCCCCAGCTTGGGATCTGAATGTAGTGTTACAACACCTCACGAGTGAGGTCTATGAACCCTTGGAATCGACAAACTTTGAATTTCTCTCACAGAAAACATTGTTTCTGCTATCGCTAGCCACAGCAGCAAGAATGTCTGAAATTCACGCTCTGGATTACGAGAGGATACAGTTTGATGACAATCATAACACAGCGCACCTCGGATTAAGATGGGATTTCATTGCAAAGAATCAACTGCCAGGTCAACCAGACAGATTATTCCACATCCCGGCGCTATCCTCTATTCTCGGATCACAAGATACACAAGACCTATCACTGTGTCCGGTAAGAGCGCTCAAAGTTTATTTACGACGATCCAAAACAAGGAGAAGATTTCTCAAACGTTTATTCATCCCATTATCGCCTACGAATCAAACAGAAGTGTCACGGACCACAATATCTATTTGGATAAGGACTGTCATTCTCCGTGCCTACAAGGCAGCAGGCTTGGACCCACCAACAGCATCAAATCCACATGAGATCAGGGCACTGGCCTCTACCCTCGCCCTACACGGTAACTGTTCCTTGAACACGATTATGGAAGGATGCTATTGGAAATCTAACATGGTATTTGCTAATCACTACCTAAGAGACATCACTACAGAAGATGTCTCTGGCATTCACCATTTCGGACCACTGGTCCTCGCTCAGCAACTGACAGTCCCTCGTAGGCGTTAAAATATTAGCCTCACAAGATTAATATGTATTTTATACATACTCATCTAGCTTATAACTCTAAGGAGTTTTAGGGCTATGTATATATGTTCAGCTTAAGTATTCTACCTTAAGCATATACTTGGATATAGTCAATTTCAATGCCTCTATCAGAGTCACCTATATATATATATATATAATTTATATGTATTGTTCAATATATTCATAATGTAATTCCCCTTTAATGGCTTTATATAACCTATGGTTTTCTTTATACAGGAAACATCCTAAATCTAAGACTTCATGAAGTTCCCGTAGGGGATATTACAGTATATCTATACAAAATCACTAATTATAAATCCAAAGTATTCTGTTACCCACCTCCGTTCCGTTAGGATGCTACAAGCAAAGAGCATGAGTCAGGATAAGGAAAAATATGTAATTTTAGAGTAAAATTGATATTTTATACTTATCCTGACTCATGAGGTTAGCCCTCCCATCCTCCCCACATAACACTTTGGATTTCCCTGTAAATTCAAGTGTTGGGCTCGCTAAATCAGGAGAGAGTGGAGCACATGGCCAGAGGGTGGCGACACCTTTTCCCGCCAGGGGAGACAAAGGGGAGCAACTCGTGGTGAGTACCAATTAGTGATTTTATTTTGAAGGGAGCTTCAAATAAGGAGATACAAGTGTTCCACTATGTTCGCAAGAAGAAGAAGACAAGCAAAAGAGCATGAGTCAGGATAAGTATAAAATATCAATTTTACTCTAAAAATTACATTATTGTTCTCTTGATTTTCATTCTCAGCTCCCTGGGAAGTACACTTGGAAAAAAGGGCTCTGCAACAAGCATCAGCAACACGTTGTGATATCTTTTGTTAGCTATGCTCACTGGTATAACTGTTGATTTGAACTGGGATTGTACTTTGACTTCTCAGATGGTAGATGTTTGTTTTGTTTCAAAAGCCATTAGCAGTTTTAATTTTGAATATTTCAGAGAAATCGGCCGCATAGATGCCCAGGACCTGAGCCGTGACACGTCTGGGACGAGGGCGTACTCGCTGTTCCTGGTGGAGTTGGCAGAGCGTGTGCCAGCAGTGATGTTGCCGAACATCAGTGTATTGCTGTGTCACCTGGATGGAGATGTAAGGCAGATGCTTCACATGCTACTTAGTGTCTTCGTTCCTCATGGAAAGTTCTGACATTTGAAACTTTTGCCTCCAAAAGACCCTAAATTTGTTTCAGCCTTGATAAAGCCCTTATTACCAGTGATTTGCCTTTAAAAGGCCCTAACTTGAGAAAAAATTGTCAACAGGATATGATTTTACAGGAAACTAATGCATAAAAACTACCATGCAATGTTGAGTGTTTATTGATCTTATTTGTAAAGCAAAACTTTACCAGCACCGAGATGTTGTCAGAGTTATTTCCCTTCGATGTCGGTTCCCCATTCGACCAACCTCATTGTTAGACTACTTTTATGAACAGATTGTTTGCATTTGTGAGATAGACCATTTAACATAGAAATTTATATGGTGTAACTTTCAGTCCTACTCGATGCGGAATGGAGTGTTGGGTGTGCTGGGTGAGATTCTGCGGCGTGTGTTGTCAAAGGACGGCCTGGACGATAACATGAAGAAGGCCAGAGATGGCTTCTTTGATAAACTGGAGGTAAGATACTGAACAGGTTTCACATTGTCTCCTTGCATGTTGTCATAAGTGCTGATGAACCTGTGAGATCCGGGTTAGAATTGATCTTGAGCCGCCCAAGGTTGTCGTAAGAGGCAAATAATGGGATTGTGTGGTCAGGCTCACTGACTTGGTTGACACATGTCATCATATCCTAATTGTGTAGATCGATGCTCATGCTGTTGATCACTGGATTGTCTGGTTCATACTAGATCAATTACAGACTGCTGCATAGCTGGAATAGTGCTGGGTGTGGCGTTAAACACCAACCAATCACCTAACATAAGAGCTGATGAAGATGAGAATCAGGTATCCATGATGTATGACTTAGTTGACAGCATTCTGTTAAGTTGACCAAAATTAGGAATTTGCATTCAAAGCACAGACATTTCACAGACTGTTCACTTTGAATGAATATTTTTCTTGGAAAGTATAATGTATTTCTCACAATCTGTGTCACATCTGTGAGATTCATGTGGAGAGTGCTTCATCATAGGACTAAATCACTCAACATTATGCATCAAGATAATACAACTAACATACTATTCAAAACAACATTAAACTCCGAGGTTAAACTGAAAAACTCACTCACTCACCAAATAACATCTCATCGGGGTTTTTTTCTTTTCAGGAACATATTCATGATGTTCATGCATTTGTCAGAAGTAAAGTTCTGCAGATCTGGTTGACAATAGTCAATGAAAAGGTGAGAGTTTCATCTGTTCTGCTTGGCATTTTTTTTTTTAGCTTTGTGTCATGTCTTTAAACTGAAATGAGTTTTTTAGAATGTGTGAAGGACTTGTCAGGTGGTGTAAATACATTTGTCCAGTAATAACAAGGTTTCTATCAGGTATCTTAATTGAGCTACTCACTCACTTCTGGGGGACATTCTACTGTCAGGTAGGGGCAGTGCGGTAGCTTGTGTTTAACATGTTCGCCTATCATGCCAAAGACCTGGGTTCTATTCCCCACAATGTGTGAAGCCCATTTCTGGTGTTCTCGTTATATTTCTGGAATATTGCTGAAAGCAGCAAAAAATTAAACTCACTACTGTCAGGTAACTAAATTTGTAGTTCTAATGAACTAACTTTAGTTCTATACCTTGATGCCTAGTGTTTACCACTGCCACGCCAAGAGCACCTGGTTGCCAAGGTGATTGGTCGGCTCCAAGACAAGTCCAGCCAGGTTCGGAGGTACGCCATCCAGCTGATGACAGCCTTACTCAAGTGTAACCCCTTTGCTGCCAAGGTGAGTACTTGCTGGTGTGTTGGATATTACAGTACTGGGGATTTCTAATACAAATGAAATGCTAAATATGATACAGTCTGTATGATGTTTGTGGTGACTGTAGCTCCCAGTACAACTCTGACTGATGTTACAGTTGCCGATGGAGAAGTTGGAGTTGAACCATCAGAAGGAAGTGGAGAAGCTGGCGGCCATGAAGCCAGCAGAGCATCTCCCACAGCCCATCCCTGGTATGTATCTTCGTCAGGGATTCACTAGGCTGTTATCTGGGATTCCACAATAAATGCCCTTTGTAGGCAAATCGGGAAGTTGGGGAGGGAGCTAACGATTTAACCACAGATGCCCCAAATGCATGACACAAAAAATGCATGCCATGATTTTCTAACCATGAATTAGGGTAACAGTAGTAAAACTCAGGTTTTGTTAAGAATGCATCAGGATATTGTTCCCAAAACACACACACATGTATCCTCCTGTGATGAGAAGACAGTGGGCATGCTCCTGGTAACTTCAGTAACACTAGTGTTGAAGTGGCTCAAAATCTTCAGATTTCCCCTATAATTTGATGTCTGCGAGAATGCCAACGAGTGTATTTGGAAAAGGTTTATAGCTGATAAAAAATTAAATTATGCTGCATTACAGATGACGTGCTGCAAGGCTTTGAGAGAGAGTGGTTGGCTGTTGAGGAGAAACTGCTTGCTGCCCTGGATGAAGACAACAGCCAAGAGGACACACAGGACGAGGACAGCCAGGAGGACATCAGTCAGGAAGACATCACTGTTGCAAGGTGAGCACATATGTCAGGTCGACATCACTGTTGCCAGGTGAGCACATATGTCAGGCCGACATCACTGTTGCCAAGTGATGAGCACATATGTCAGGCCGACTTCACTGTTGCCAGGTGAGCACATATGTCAGGCCGACATCACTGATGCCTGGTGCAGGAATCACAAAGACATGCAATACTTTAATGAGAAAACGTCATTTGTGTATGAGCTATTCCTGAAACGGTGAGTATTGGCTGTAGATTGTTGGTAACAGTGTTGCTGAAACTGAGTTGTGCTGAAAAGGCGAAAGGCTTTAGAGTTGATAGGCCCCGCTACTTTGGTGACATGCCCTTGATGTTGTGGCAGTGTACACCACTAAAAACACCTGCATATGTTTGGTAATACAGTTTGCACATTTACCAACCATCCCATCTCCTCACCTTCTCCTGGTCCCTCTTTCAGCTGTTCCCATGACCACCACACCCTCAGGTCTTCATTCCTCCCATTCACACCAAGTGAAGTCTAATCTTTCCCTCCCTTATCCCTCTCTGCCCCTTCCCATCCTGTTGCTCAACCTTTCTGATGGCCTCTTTCACCCCTCCTTTATCCCTCTCTCTCCCTACCCATCCCATGTCTCAGCCATTCTGATGGCCACTTCCACCCTTCCCTCCCCTGCCATCACATGTTCAAACATATCTCCAAATTCTCCCCGACACAGTCCCAACCTTCTCTAAGACTCAAACCCCACCCCAAACCCTGCAACCCTTACTAAATCCTCCCCAAACCCTCCCAAATGTCTGCAAGCAAGAAATCAGGCTTGTGATTTTTTTTATCCACAATATCCCTGCCTTGCAGTCAGCTGACAAGGATCTACCACCTGTTGCTGGAAGGTCGGTACCTGTCCGCTGTGAAGGTCCTGTCGGCCACACAGCAGCAGTGGCCTGACCTTGCACCAAGGGGACACAACCAGGAGGGCGATCAGACAACACAGACTGATGAGGATGGAGAGACAAGTCAGAGCGAAGATGATCAACAGAAAGAAGAGAAAGATGGACAGGAAGATGGTCACAGGTAAGGGAGACAACTCTGTGAAGAATGATAGTTGCTTGCAAAAGAAAACAGTACTGCCCACTCCAAAATCTGATGTTTTTTTTGGGGGGAAGCATTGCTGCAGATAATTTAGCACAAAATAATAAGTGGGAGATGTATCGATACCTTGTTTCTAAAGTTACTTCATTGAATGTACGTCACATTTTCGGCATAGATCATGTGTAGAAGTGAACTATGTTGCATGAACCCAGATCTGAAATAACACAGGAGGGGGAATAGACATTTGTAGTTGTGTAACAGAAACCATGATGATGATGATGATGATGATGATGATGATGAAAAGTATCCTGAAAGTTGATGGAAAGTATCCTGTAAGTTCTTGGTGGTTTTGACTGGTCAGTGTTCCTTTCTCATTCACATTGTGTTGGCAACAAGGGCCAAGTGCTGCTGATGAACCTGAACAGTCCTCTTTGCTTGCATCAGTGTATCTCAATGATAAATATAATAATGATAATGTGTTGCTGTGTTTCAGTGTCGACAAGCATGAGGTAGATCCTGTGTCGGAAACTGTCACGCAGCTGAAGGAGATCTTCCTAGGTGAGGGCAGAATGTTTGTCACCTTGCTTGTTTGTAATATTTTATTCAATGTTTAAAATTCAACATGAAAGGGAGTGGGTCCTTGTCACGATGCTACTGTTGAAAGTTGAAGATTGAGGAGGTCCCAGGGTTAAATAACTATGTCTGTTTACCCTCTTGATTCCTTAACCGTTTATTTCATCTAATTTTCAATTGGAATAGACAGGAAAGTATTAAAGTCACCTCATATCAAGATTAATTAAAAACTCCTAGAAAATTAATTATATACCGTTTCCCTGAATATTGCCGAACAAATAAAGCATCAGACCCATTGATTTTAGAAGCTATGGTTATGTTTTTGGATATGATGTGAACCTGACAAATTATTTTGTCACTAAAATAGTTTGCACACGCTCTGACAGTATATGATGGACCGTTTCAGGCAACAAGAAGCTGGCCCACGTGTCTGCTACCCCTGTTGAGGGTGAGGGAGATGCTGCCAGCGAGGTGTGCAAGCAGCAGGTGCTTGTCCAGTACCTCAAGGTAGATAACTCTGTCTCTCCATTCCACCTGAGAAGTCAGTGTAACATGAATGCCATGGATGAATGGATGGATCTATGCTTTTGTCATTGATCATCTGATTGTCTGCTCTAGACACATATTGCTGGAATATTGCTGAATTATTTCCTTTCATCGTCCTGGATTGTTAGTCATGCAATCACCCACTGTTCTGGCTATCCCAGATATGGTACCATGATATGGCTGAACTATTGCATACACAAAGGTGCATAATATGAATCTCATCTCCCATGGTTAGATTGTCTTCAAGATTATAGTTTTTACTTTTGCCGTTGGGGCGGTGGGGTAGCCTGGTGGCCTGGTAGCCTGGTGGCGTTGGGTTGTCACACCAAAGACCCAGGTTCGATTCCCTACATGGGTCCAATGTGGGGAGCCCATTTCTGGTGTCCCCCTGCCGTGATATTGCTAAATAATGCTTAAAGCAGAGTCAAACTATACTCACTCACTCACCTTTGCCATTTCAAGCAAATACAGCTAGGCTGTTGGACACTTGTGTAAGATGTCAGTGATACTTAGGTTCAGGCAGCACTTGAATCGTAGGTTTGTTAGATTACGATGTGCTAGGAATTGAACAGAATGGCTGTATAGCAAAACAGGAGGACTTGGTGTTGGGTTTGGAAAGTTGTTTCTGTGAGGTGTGTGGAATTTTTGTTTTAAGTTGGGGGTTTTAAATATGTATACACAGTGCAAGCTGTCAAAACCAGCAGCTGTCCAATCCTGCATGTTGTCATCACCGGCATAAAATTTAATCCTGCTGTGGCTAGTACATTTATCATCATTTAAAGGCTCTGCAATCCGGCAGCTGTCAATTCCGGCTCTCGGCATGAAATGAGCCTCTTGAATATTTGTTTATACAATAATCAGTGTTGTCTAGTGAGTTGACATGTTTTATTGTGATGCAACACTGTATATGAGAGTGACAAAACAGTTCAGTTCTAGTCGTGGGTAACCGTGTCAGCTCTACAATCCGGCACGCTGTTTAAACTGGACTAATTCTTCAGTCCCGATGAGTGCCGGTTTAGACAGCTTCCACGGTAGTATGATTTCATCTATCTTACTCTATTCTGGTGGTGTATCATGATACCAGAGGTATCATCAGTGGATACAGTGATCATATTGTGAGATTTTTCATGCAATTCTCAGCTCAGGTACATAACATCTTTTACATTGAAGTCTACTGTCATGTGTATTCAGGACTCTCTGACCTTCGCCAAACAAGTTCAGACGTCTGTCCCCACCATCTGCCAACTCCTGGGGTCTAAGAACACGTCTGATGTATTTGAGGCCATTGAGTTCTTCGTGACAGGGTTTGAGTTTGGTGTGACGGCCACCATGTTGGGGATCAGGCGGATGTTGACGCTGGTGTGGTCGAAGGAGTCCGGGGTGAAAGAGGCGGTAGTGGCGGCGTACAAGAGACTGTACCTTAGTCCCCAGGGCGGGAACCAGAGGTGAGGGTCATGTGTAACTTGTATGTCACTGGTTTAGTCATCTGTAGGAGATCAAAACAAATGCTGCTTTGGCTGGGAAAGGGGGAATCTTGTAATGTCAGAATTCCAAAATGAAGTTGAGTGTCTCTACCTGAAAATGTGGAACCTACAACCTTGTACAGTTTAGTATTGAATACCAACTTCCCACGAATGTACCATCTGTGAAACCCTGATAACTTGTGAAACACACAATATATGAAACCATATGTAATAAGATATTGTACAATCTGTGAAACCACTTACCTTTAAGATTTTGTAAAACCCAGTAACCCAGTACAGCACCATATGTGAACCCCTATTCCCATGTACTTTACACCATGTGATACCTATTTCCAAATGCATGTTCAACAGACATGTTACCGAGTACAATACAAAATGTGAAACTTGTCAACATTACCTTTTGTGAAACACCTAGTTCTGTACAATTCGAGAATCCATCATGTACTGCAGTACAGTTTGATGAAATCTGTTTTTCTTGAACTCCATTCACTTATAACAGATGTCAGTTAAATATTTGCTCAACCTGAATTTGTTTGCCCTGTGACAGGTCGAAAGCCCTGGCCATCGTGACGAATCTAACAGCCCTCACCATCGGAGCAACATTGGGTGACCTGACATCACTGGAAGGGCTGGTAATGCTGACTTTTGTACCTCATCAGCAACCCCAAACATACTGAGATAGAAACATTCTTACTTCTTGGCACCTACCGGATGACATGGTGACTCAATCATCTGCAGGGCTGAAAATTAGGCACGCCAGATGCCTAAGATCATTATTATCCTGATTATGTTTATAAGTTTGCAAACTCCTTTCTTACTGTTGTCACCAAAGTGCTAAATCCATGATATGCTTTCCTGACAAGCTGTCCTTCTATTTCATAACTGAAATACTGTTCAAAGTAACATTAACCAAATTTACTCACCCGGGAATTTTAATTTTTCTTTTGAATCATTTTCTGCATCACTTTTTCAGTCATCAATTCGTAAATAGCCATTACAGTTTAGATGGCCAAGCCATTATCATCTTGGTTTAGAACCGGTCATTTTAATTAGAAAAACAATAATCAGATATGCTCATCTGAATTGTTCACTTGTATTTAAGAATAAAGACCTTTGTGACTTAAACATTGATAAGACCCGTGAATTTCCGGGTTAGAATGAAACTTAAGTAACCCATGCTTGTCGTAAGAGACGACTAACGGGATCAGGTGGTCAGGCTTGCTGACTTGGTTAGCACATGTCATCGGTTCCCCATTGAGCAGATCAATGCTCATGCTGTTGATCACTGGATTGTCTGGTCCAGACTCGATTATTTCCAGACCGCCACCATATAGCTGGAATATTGCAGAGTGCGGCGTAAAACTAAACTCACTCACTATGCATTGATAAAGTTTACCTGGTGTGACTACATCAGATAGATTTGAACAGATCATGTATTTAGTTTTGGATTAAAAGCTCAGGTGTTATTGTGTGCTGCAGGTTGTTGAGTTCATCAAGAGCGGGGAGATTGGGCCACCAGTGATACAGATGCTGTGGGAGAGGTTCACGTTGAAGGTGCCGAACACGACGGCATCAGACAGCCGTGCAGCGTTGCTGCTGCTCTCAATGGCAGCTGGGTATGACAACTTCAGTTTTTTACCTACGAGATATATCCCCAGTCGGAGATTCAACCAGCGGTAGGCCTCATTGTGTCACTGTCCGCACGCTGGTTCTGTATTGGTCGAGCTTGTGACCACTTGCAGTTTGTTTACCTTGCCTTGAGTTAAAACTGTTTACCTTCGTTTAAGTTGTCTGTTTTTTAATAGTTCATGATTCGCCTTTTACATGCTTGAAGAAGTTCCTGTTTCTCTGATCATTTTGATTTGCAAGTTTCTGTCTCATATACATGTTTTGATAGATTTAAGACAAGACAGAATATATGTAAAAAAAGAATAAAATAATAATAACAAATAATAACATGAATAATGTTGAAACTAAAACTGATGATATTTCTCTATACTTAGACTGTTACCATCATAGTGACTGGGTTTAATTCCATCAGCTGTAAGGGATTAGGCTAGGCTGGTGGTTAAAGTGTTCACCCATCACACTAAAGACCCGGGTTTCGATTCCGCACATAGGTACAATGTGTGAATCCCATTTCTGGTGTCCCCTGACATGATGTTGCTGGAATAAACCTTTTGTGTTTCATTTTCAAATTATTTTACATGTTGAAACATGGTGTTGGGGTGTGATGTGTAGTTATTGTGCATTGAAATAGTTCAGGTTAGCATGACCACATCTCAACCATTTAGTGGTTGCCAAAGTATGTTATTGCACATGGGAAGTTATGTTTATGCATACAAAACACCATGACAGTGTTGACGCCTGTGTTGTTCTTAGGGCGGAGATGGAAATGGTGAAGAGTAACATTGAGGTACTGATCAAGGAAGGTTTGGGACCACGAGCTGAGGATGACTTCCTGCTGGCCCAGAACGCCTGTCGTGCTCTCGTCAAACTGGGGTCTGTCAAGAAGGTAGGTGTAAGACAATGATCTCGCTCTCGTCAAACTGGGGTATGTCAAGAAGGTTGATGTTGCTCTTGTCTAACTGAGGTCCATCCGGAAGGTAGGTGTAAGACAATGATCTCTCTCTCGTCAAACTGGGCTATGTCAAGAGGGAGGTGTAAGACATTGATCTTACTGCCAAACTGGGGTCATTTTAAATCAAAACATACCCACTGTTACAGTGACTGAAGCAGGAAGAAGTTCAGAGGTGTTTATTTTACTTTTCAGAATCGAGGAGAAACGGCAGCTGAGCCATTCCGCCTACCACAGTCACATGAGCTGTTCTCCAGACTGTCTCACCTGCTGGTGTCTGAGCAGACAACCTCACTGGATTCCACTATGCGAGTTGTCTGTGAATCGCCATCTACAAGCTGTCTGGAATATCCCTACTCTGTGGTGTGTGGGAGAGACATCCTCAAGGGTTGGACTGATCAGAAAACCAGGCACCTCTGTCTGTAATCGAAGGGAGATGGTAGGGGATTCAGCCAGTTGTCGCTGTGTTCACAGGTAATGGTATAGCTAAAGTATTCATTCGCCATGCTAAAGGGGGAGAGGACTAACCTGTTCATTGACTCATCCATCTACACCCTGTACTTCCATTGGCATACTCTATCTATTCACATACATATCATGCCATCCATCACATCCATCAAGTACTTCATCTATTCTCATGCCATCAAGGCACTTATCCATCCATTCACACATGTACTCTATCTCACCATCAAGGCACTCTATCCATTCTCCACACGCCACCTGGTATATCCATCACAGTTTCACCTATCAGTACTTCATCTTGTTCACATCTCACCTATCATAAAATATATTCTCATGTCAACGAATAAGGCACTCACCCATTCTCATGTTTCACTATCATCCATTCACATGTTTCACACCATCAAGTGCTCATCCACATGTTTCACCTATCATAATTTCCTATTGTCATGCTCACCCATCAGTACTCTCATCCCATGCTCACCAAGTACCTATCCATTCATATATGCCTACTGTTCTCCAACTATTCACATACCACTCATGTACTGCCTATTCACATGCTCACCTCTATCCATTCATATGCCACCTCAAGTAATTCTTATCTATTCTCATGCTCAATGGTCCTTATCCATTCATATCGCTACTATCAATCCATTCATTCATGCTGTATCCTTACATGCTCACCTATCAATGCACTTCTTATCTGTCCATTTTTCACATGCTCACCCATCTACATGTGTCACCTATCAAGGTCCTATTCACATGCTCACCTATCAAGGCAGTTCATCCATTCTCATGCTCACCCATCAAGGCACTCATCCATTCACATGCTCACCCATCAAGGCACTCATCCATTCACATGCCTCCCCCATCAAGGCACCCATCCATTCACATGTTCCCATCAAGGCATCTTCATCCATTCATATGCTCTACCTATCAAGGTAATTTCATCCATTCACATGCTCACCTATCAAGGCACTCATCCATTCTCACCACCCATCACGTTATCCATTCTTACGCCACCCATGTTTCATTCACATGCCCACCCACTAATTAAGGTATCTATTCACATATGCTCACCCATCAAGGTGACTCTATCCATTTCACACGCTTCGCCTATCAAGGTAATCTCATTCCATGTTTGCTCTATGTTTCAATGACAGGTATTTCTTATCCATTCACATGTATCTATCAAGGATACTAAACTTACTCATATCTTGTCTCACTTAAGGCATTTTCATCTTATTCATCCACTTCATGCCTCTATCCAGGGGTCATTTCTTATCTTATCTGTCTGCTTCATTTAATTAAGGCACTATCCATTCACACGCTCATATCTATTCATATCGCCATCCTTATCCATTCGTTTTACTTCTAAGTTTATCCATAAATCTCTTACTATCTATCTACTTACTTATTCATCTTACTACCTATTCATCTACTTTCTCATTTATTCATTCAAGTCCATTCATTCCACTAATACTTCGCTTTCTATCTACTATTTTAATTATCTTATCCACTCTGCCTTCATCTTATCCATTTCTAACTCATATCAATCACTTCCTTCATCCATTCTTGCTCACTTCTGTCTATTCCATCAGTCTCTGGCACTCTATCAACACTCTTATCCATCTAATTTCATACTTGCTCTTATCCATCAGTCTCTTACTCAGGCCCCATTCTATCAACTTACCTCATCTTAGTCCACTCTTACTTCTACTTTCCATTCTTATCAACTTCCACCCCATCCATTTCAATACTTCACTATCCATCCAATACCTACCTATCCATCAACTTCATCCATCGCATCATTCCACCCATACCTATCAATACTTCTATCTTATCCACTTCCACTTAAGCCCATCTATCAACTTCACTAATCCATCAAATACTCTTCATCTATCCACCTATTTTGCCGTATCCTATCAACATTACCAATTAATTTCAATACCTATCCATTCCAGCCTACCTACCCATCTTATCAACACTCTCATCTATCAGTCCATCATCACAACACTCACCATATATTATTTGCCATTCCAATCTCCATCCATCATCCATCCATCAACTCTTTGCTCTATCTTATCAACTTCATCCCATCTCACTCTATACTTGCTCCTATCTTATCATCCATCTATCCATCAACTCTCACTCTATCCCATCCATCAACTTCTACTCATCTTATCTTATCAGTCTTCACTTCTACCCATCCACTGGGAACACTCATCCATCCACTCCACTTTGCCCATCCTTTTCAACTTTCATACTCCATCAACACTGCTTCACTACCCATCCATCCATCTATCTTATCAACTTCCACTCAACGGGGTTTCATCTTATCCATCAACTTCATACTCTGTCTATCCATCAACTCACTTTTGCCCATCCACTCACCACTTGCTTTCCTTGTATCCATCAACACTCTATCCATCCACTTCCACACTTGTCCCATCAACTCAATACCTATCCATCCACCTTATTTGTCCATCCATCAACACCTCCCATCCATCCACCTATTGTGTTCTATCCATCCACACACCACCAATCAATCAACATTCATCCCATCCACCTACTCTTTCACCTATCCATCAACACTTCATCCATCAGCTACTTCACCCATCCATCAACACTTCCCTCATCCATACACCTATTTTGCCTCCATCCAATCCCCTGCGCTCCATCCACCTTCCACCTACTTTGCCCATCCATCAACTCATCCATCCATCAACCACCCTTCATCATCCATTCTCACCCATCCACAATACTCATCCTCAGCTTTCACTCATCCATCCATCAGTACCATCCATACACTTCACCTACCACCTCCTTCCATCCACTTCCCCACCCATCCATCCTGGCCTCCCATCCATCAACACTCATCCATCAACACTCATCCCACTCACTCACCCATCCATCGGGAACATCATCCATCAACTCACCCATCCATCCACCTATCCACCTGCCACAGATTGCCCATCCATCAACTCCACCCATCCATCAACACTCATCCATCCACCACTTCTGCTCCATTCATCAACCTCCACCCATCCATCCACTCCACTCACCATCCATCAACACTCACCCATCCATCAACACTCATGCATGCCTCACTCCAACACTCGCCAATCTATCAACACTTCCATCCATCCGCATTCCATCAACAGCATCTATCACTCACTACCATCCATCAACACTTTATGTACTTCTACTTACCCATGCATCATCACTCATCCATCTACTCTTACTTGCTATATCAATCTCCATCCATTCCTTCACCCAGTCCATCAACACTCATGTATCCTCACTTGCCATCTTGGTCAACACTCCATCTACTTCACTCGCCTATCCTATCCATCATCACTCCCATCAACACTCAATCGCCCATCCATCAACTCACTCGTGTCCATCCACTCTCATCCATCTCACTTGCATCCATCCATCAACTCCTGTCCATCCACTCCACTCCTGTCCATCTCACTCACTCTGTCCGTCCATCCATCAACACTCATGTCCATCCACCTTCCTCCATCCATCAACACTCATCCATCCAGCCTCACTCATCCATCCACTCTTCATCGTGCCTCCGTCATCCTTGTCCGTCCATCAACTTCACGCCGTCCATCCATCAACACTGTCCGTCATCCGTCCATCCTTCCTCGATCCATCAACTCACTCCATCCATCCACTCTCGTGTCCATCCGTCCACTCCGTCCATCCATCCACTCGTCAACTCCGTCGTCCGTCACTCACGTCGTCCGCATCCACTCGTCCATCCATCTCCTTTCTATCCATCAACTCGCTCCATCCATCCACTCCACTCCACTCCATCCATCAACGTGTCCGTCCATCCATCCATCGGTCCGTTCACTCCGTCCATCCATCAACTCATCCATGTCCGGGTCCACTCACTCCATCTCATCCATCGGCTCACTCACCCATCCATCAACCTTCACTTGTCGTCATCCGTCCACTCACCCATCCATCACACTGCATCCATCCATCCATCACGTCCATCAACTCATCCATCCACTCACTCACCCATCCATCAACACTCGTCCACTCACTCACCCATCCATCAACACACTCATCCATCGGCCACTCACCCATCCATCCATCCGTCCGTCACTCTGTCCATCCTTTTCCTCGTCCATCCACTCCTCCGTCCATCAACTCATCCACTCACTCACCCATCCATCAACACTCATCCACACACTCATCCATACACTCACTCACCCATCCATCCACTTCCTCACCCATCCATCAATACTCATCCATCCACTCACTCTCCCATCCATCAACACTCATCCATCCACTCACTGCTCCATCCACCATCAGTGTTCCACTTATTTGTCCATCCACTCACTCCACCTTCAAATATATTATAGGTAAGAAACATGTATTTACTGTCCTTGCAGGAGCTGACAACACAGAGACCCCACTTCCTGGATGTAGCTCTGGCCAGCTGACCCGGGCTCCTGTGTCTGGCGGGACACGTGGCCCTCAAGCAGCTGGTGCACCTAGATGTGAGCGTGTTCGGGGAGGTGAAGCGACGGCTTGCTGTGCAGGAGGAACGCAATAACAGGAAGTCCTCGGGGAAGAAGAACGATGCATCACTCTCGAAGACAAAGGTAGCAAAGTCATGGACAATTTTTTGTTTTGTTAATAAATATTATTTAACAAATCTGTGGTGATCCTGGATTGAAATTAGTCATATGCAACCTGTGCTTGTCTTCTTTTGACTTAGTGAATCAGAGGGTGCGACTAGCTGACTTGATTTAAAGCATTACAGTAGATATCATGCACTAGTGCGTGGATATGTGCGCTATATAAATATGCAATAATAATAATAATAATAATAATATCAATCACAAGATTGTCTAACTCAATCATTTACAGATCACCATTACATATGAAATAACGCTTGGTATGGTCTTAAACAACACCCGGACACACCCACATGTTAATAATGTTTATTGTTTAACGCTGCACTCAGCAATATTCCAGCTTTATGATGGTGTTCTGTAAATAATCTGGACCAGACAATCCAGTGCTTGACATCATCAGCATAAATCAACACAATTGGGATCATGCATCAACAAGGCCCGATGGTCAACTCTTATGACAAGCATGGGTTGCTGAAGACTAATTTTACCCTGGATCTTCAGATGTTTTTAAAGTAATCGAATAACAGGCTGAGACCACCCCTTTTTCTAATTTCTGTGTTCATCCCTCACAGGACAGTGTGATGACAGAGCAAGAGACAATGGAGGATGAGATGGGGTTGGCTGGTGCGGCAGCCCGGAGGATGCAGAGAGTGAATACATTCGCCAGCATCTGTGAGATGGAGATTGTCACTGGTAATTCTTTTAATACAAATATTCCTACATTCTTTTTCAGAAGAAGTCCTCCTTGGGGTACCAAACTCAGTCAGTCAGTCAGTCCATTTTAAAATCCAACGACTCGTTTTTGTCTTGTGAGACCAACCCTACAGGGCTCCTCAGGGGCCCCCAACAACCAAGAGCAGGTTACTCTCGCTGTCTACTTCGTACCTCACTTTTCATGCTGTTGTTTCTCAGGAAGGACGTACTTGTGTTCATTCTCAGGAATCTTTCCCTGTCCCTACAGAGATAAGGGATACGAATGAAATACTGTGTGTATGGTTCCTTTATTTATGCATGGGCGTTAGATGGATTTCATATGTAGGTATTTTAAATAATGTTTTCTTATCCTGACTCATGATCTTTTGATTGTTAGCATGTTGATACTGTGTACAGGGTGTATAACATATTCACAACAATTTACAACTATAGTTATTTTTGGCTTTCAGATTTTCCCTGTTGATAAAACTTTAAGCCATACATTGGCTACTCTATTTGAATGCTTTGAAGTCCTAACACTGGCTGTTTTTAGAAATTTTGTCTGAATCCAACTTCAAATATATTAAGGCTTTGAACTTCTCCCAAATGTGTCTTGGTATTTACAGGATATTCTTGAGTTGTCTTTGATTTAGTCCTCTTATTTAATTTAAATGTTTAGTGTTATACAACCACTATTGCTATGTGACCAGGAGCAGGCCTGCTGTCTGAGTTTGAGCCCCTGCTGGTGGCGGTGTGCAGTTCCCCAAGGCAAGTACCCCGATCTGCAGCTGCAGACTGCTGCATCACTCGCACTTGCAAAGTTTATGACAGTCAGGTGTGTACTTAACTGCGCTAGTGGTGGTCTGATTAATACAAATAATAGTAATAATAATAAGCAATCGATCATGTTTTCAATCAAACACCCACCCACTCACTCACTCATGACTCACTTACGACTCACTCATCTGCACGAAGCTGTGATCATCCACTGACCGTTGGAAGTGAAGCGTGAGTGTCCCTTGTGTCTTGACATAAGACAAGGTCTGCTAGTCTGGATTAATGACCGATCAGCAGGGTATTGGTGCCCTTGGTGGTGATTAATAGGCCTATCTGACACTGAGTGAACTGTAATTGGCAATTCAAAACTACCATGCTCTTTTGGCAGTGATTTTAAACCAGAAGTGTATGATCGCTACCGTTTCAACACCACAGCCTGGATGACAGAAATCCAGATATCCGGATATTCAGTTATCTGGACAATTTACGCAAAAACAAATGTGTCCAGATATCTGGGGTCCACTGTAATTCTTGTCCAGAATTTAGTTGTTCAGTAAAATATCACTGTGATTTCTTGATGTTACCCTAAATCATTCAGATAAAGTGCATTTCCACTCTTCAGTAAGAATACAAACGAAGTGTTTAGATTGACATGACTTATGTCTCAAATATCTCATTTCTGTTGCAGCTCAGAGTTCTGTGAAAACCACCTGCAGCTCATGTTTACAATCCTGGAGAAATCCCAGAGCCCAATCATCCGTGCCAACACAATCATTGCCCTTGGCGACCTGGCGTTCCGCTTCCCGAATCTCATTGAACCCTGGACGCCTCACCTCTACGGCAGGTGAGATGCGCTCACAGCTGGCAACTTAGGACCAGCAATAATTGGATCTGATCAGCTGTTGAAAAACTATTGACAATAAAATCCTTTCATCTGTTGGGGAAGGGTGGGTGGTTTTTTTTGAGAAATTAAAAGTTAAATTGTCCTTCAGCTATATCAGTTTGAATATCTGACTCAAAACTTGTGATATTCCTGCTGTTTAAGCATAAAATAATGTGCTCAAAGCACCTCTGTACTTATGTAAATAGAGCCAAATGTCGGTAGTTTGGTTCTGTTCATGCTAAAACCAAAAGGCACCAAACAATAGTACTTGTTGTTACCCTGGCTGGTGGATATAGCAAGGATAGGTTGGCTCGGAGTACCACAATATTAGCTACTTTCAATTATGGTTTAGTGTGTGTTTTTGAGCTGGGGATGTAAGGCAATGAAGTTCCTGTTGGTTTGTGTTTTGTGCGTAAGTCAAGGTGTTTCTTTTTCATAGACTGCGTGATGAGTCGTCACAGGTGCGGAAGAATACATTGCAAGTTCTCACCCATCTCATCCTTAATGACATGGTGAAAGTCAAAGGTCAGATCAGTGAACTGGCGTCATGTATTGTTGATCATGATGAGCGAATTGCCAACCTCGCCAAACTCTTCTTCCTGGAACTGTCTAAGAAGGTGAGATGATGTACCTTGACGACGATATCTTGTACCTGTAGACACTTGTGTAATAATTTTTCCTTTCTTTTCAGAAGAAGTCCTCCTTGGGGTACATATAAGCATTAAAATGTCCATTTTAAAAGCCTACGACAGTTGTAACAATATTTCAATAAAATATTTTACCAAACAAAAACTTCGTTATGTGTGGTGAGACCACCCTACAGGGCCCGTAGAGGGGCCCCTACAACCAAGAGCAGGTAACTCTGGCTGTGTACCTCGTACCTCACTTTTCATGCTGTAAAATTCGGCCCGTGTAGGTCGATTGCATGGTCAAAAGCTCTGAATAAGAGATGAGTGAGATAGAGTCAAATCCTGTATGTATGGTTCCTTTTTTATTTCGAGCTAGCTGGAATCTTTGTATGACTTTTTTTCATTCATGATTTGTTGTAACTTTACCGGCGTGTTAAGCTGTCTCCAGCCACGTGGCAGGCAAGATGGCGGACCCAGCGGGGTTCCGTTTGCTTTCCTTCTCCTGGCTTTAGAAAAAGCCTTGTAGTCGGGTTGTGAAAGGGCTGATATTTCATTTTGTAGATTATACTTGCCTAAATTCCTCTTTTTCAGGCTTTAGGTAAGTTTTGCTTGAGTGTTTTAAATGGCCCAGCGTTTACGTGTAAGCTCACACATGTTGCTCTTTGTCACCTATATGCGCCCAATTACGGCCAGCTATTATGGCTTTACGCTAGTAATTAATAGCTTTGCTGTAGCAGTTAAAATATCGCCCGGCGTTGTATTTTGTTCTGTTTTGTTGTGTGCATATTATATTATGTATATCGTTACAGTCCTTGCTATTATCATAGCGTGGTTCTGTTTTTGCAGCCCAAAGGGGTGTGTCACCTGTAAGCGGCAGTTTGTAAGCCTCAGGATCGCCACCTGGTTTGCTTCGTTGTTTAGCGGAGGAAAGCCCATGGCGAACAAGGTTGTTCTATGTGTCAGGCTTTCTCCCCGCTTTCATCAAGTCCAGGCGTGCTGATTACATGTTCTACACGTCCTTACTTCAGGCGGGGGGACATTTGGGGTCAGGAGCAGCCTAAAGACAAAGATAAAAACAAAGAAAAGAAGGCTTGGCTTCCTCTCTTTCGGGGATGCTCCTAAGCGAGGCCGAAGGGTGCGGGGCCTCCGGCTCTTTCACCTGCCATCCCCTCAACATCACAGGCACCTTCCCCCCTCCTGTCCCTGTTTCTAACCAGCTAACAATTGATTTACTTTCTGATATATTGCAGAAGCAGATGGATTCGGTCCACTCTCGTGGCTGGCCAGCGATGGCTGGCCTCCGACAGGAGGTTGGTGTCCGACCAGATGCGGGTGTGTGTGTGGCCGGGTCTATGGCGGGCAGTGCTCCCAACCTCAGCTTAGGCTCTGGTGTGGGGGTTTCTGTCGAGGGGTGCGTCGGCTCCGAGTTTTAGTCTCGGTTGCTGGCCACCCTCGCTGTAGTAACTACTACCGGCCCGAGCCTTGGCTCGGGTCTGAGTCCAGTAGTTAGTAGTTTGGCAGTCCCTGTAGTTGCCGCTACCGCCCAGTGGTCCCACCGCTTGCGCCCGGCTTGGCGGGCCATTGATGTCTGGATCATTTTGTCTACCATTGAGGAATCCCAGCGCGGGCTCTTCCTCATCCGCGGCACCTTGACTCAGTCTCGAGTCTTGGGTGGGTGTGCGGGCAACCCGGCTCTGCTCGAGCCTTTGTCCCTCTCTGTAGACCCCTCGGATGATCCCTCAGAGCTCTCTCTGGAAACAGAGACCTCACTCATTGAGGATCGATTCGAGGAGGCTATGGAGGAGGATGAGGGTCGGGAGGAGTTAGATGCATGCCTTTGGTTTAAGCTCGGTCGTCCCTGAGGCAGATGCGGGGGCGTGTGCTTCTGTCCTGCCCCAGGTAGTGGTCAGTACTGGCGCACCCGACCCTCAGGAGTTTAGCCTCCCAGGGGAGGCTTTTGCTCCCACCAAGGTGGGGGACACAAGGCTCGCGTATATTACCCTCAGTCTTGTCTGAAGTAATCAACCCCTCCTCTGTGGTACCAGGTCCAGGTTGATTTGCCAGAACTTGACCGTCGGTACCTCATGGGGAAGGCTTGCCTCTACAATCCCCAGTGGTTGGCGATTGTGTTTTACGCATCCATTAAGCCCTGGGGGTTAAATCGAGTAATTCTATGGCTTCAGCCAAGCAAGGTCGCCCGGCTTCCGCCCGTTCCGCGACTAGCAGCTACAGCGCTTAAATCCGCCCTATCGATCCTTTGAAGAGCAATACGCAATGCGGTTCAATGCCTCAAAGTGGCGATCCATTCCGCCTACATCTCGGTGTTGCAGAGGCAACTACTGGATGTGGGTGGGGTGGAGAAAGATTAGATCTCCCTCCACCTTGGCTAAGCAATTAGCGGAGGTACAGTCACATCTGGTAGCGATTCTATCAGGTGTGTCGGCTTGCCAAATGATGTCGGTGATGGGCCTCCGTTAAGCCTGTGGCTTTCCGTGGCGAGGTATTAAGCCTGCCATAACAGGCTCTGCTGGCTGCCATTCGGATGGGTTCTACCCTGTTCCCGGGGCAGCTACAGTAGTCGGGAGGCAGCGCGGAGGCTGTCTCAACCTTCAAGGACTCTAAGCCCTTGCTGGAACAGCCTCACGTCTGGCTTCGCGGCCCCGGTTGTCTCCTCCGCATATCCTTCTGCGGCGGCGAAGGAATCTGTTAAATGGGCTCAGCCCTTGCAGTGTGCGGAGGGTAAGGGCAGAGGCAGGGGCAAGGGGCAAGGCCCGCGGCCCCACCAGCCTTTTCAGAGGAAGGGGAAGTCAGCCCGGCTTCCCAGCTATAATTCCTCGGGCCCTTGTTGGTACCAGACCAAGCAGTCAGAGTACTGCCAAAGTCCGGTATTCAATGTCTCCTGCCACATATCCCTGTGGGTGAGTGGACTTTCCCTCTTCCTGTCGAGATGGGAAAAGTCCGTCAATCCCTGGGTCCTGTCCACACTCAGGGAAGGCCACTTGCCACAGTGGAGGCGAGACCCACCCCTTCTCCGGGATCCGTTGCACTCCAGTGCGGCTGCCCTAGAGAAGGCGGAAGTGCTCCGTGCGAGGTCCAGTCGTTGCTGGACAAGGCAGCCATAGAAGATGGTTCCTGTGGGACAAGAAATGTTGGGTTTTACTCAACTTATTTCCTTGTCACCAAAAGGGACGGAGGGGGTTCAGACCTATTCTAAACCTCAAAGGTCTGAGCGACATGTTAGAGGTACCGTCATTCAAGATGGAAACACTGCGTTGGTGATTTAGTCTGTGGAGAGGGGAGATTGGCTCCGTCAATCGACCTCAAAACAGCGATACTTCCATGTCCCTATGCACCCGAGTTCGGAAATACCTAAGGTTTTCCTTCGGCGGGGAGTGCTATCAGTTCAGGTACTCCCCTTGGCATTTCCACAGCGCCAAGGGTGTTCACCAAACTCATGCTAATTCCAGCTCAGGTAGCCAGGTCACAGGGCAGGTGCTGTCACCCGTTACCTAGGCGATTGGCTCCTTAGATGCGCTGCCACTCACTTGAGTCGAGTTGCGACACTTGCTGTGATGAGTATTCTCACCAAGTTGGGCTGGATTATCAACCTCAAGAAATCAGAACTGGTTCCCACCCAGGATCTGGTGTTCTTGGGGAGAGTTGAGACAGCGAGGATAGTCTCCCTGTCTCGGACAGCGTCACCAAAGTCAGAGAGTTGTGTTACAATTTCTCGAGTTCCCCAGGGCCTCAGCTCGGACTTGGCTCCAGTTGTTAGGCAACATGGCGGCAGCGGTGGACATCGTTTGGCGGCCTTGGTTGAGGATCACGACCCATTCAGCAGGCTCTAGCTTCGAATGTGGGTCCACACCCAGGGTTCTGAGTTGATTCTCCACACTCCAGGGTGGCTAATTCCTCATTTACGGTGGTGGACACTGGCAGGGAATTTATCCAAGGGGCTCCTTTGGACATCCCATCGCCAGATCTCTCAATTCAGGCGGACGCTTCCCTCACAGGGTGGGGCGTGCTGAAGCGCCCTAATGGGTCTCAGGCCTGTGGTCACAGAAGCGGCGCAACTGCACATCAATGTGCTAGAATTGAGAGCAGTCAGGTTGGTGTTCAAGCGACTTGGGGAGCAGGTTCAAGGCCGTGTGGTCCGTCTGAGATGGACAACCAGGCGGCAATGACCTACATCCTGAAGCAGAGGCGATCTGGTTTCCCGTCTCTTCTGCAGGAGGCATGGCAGTTTCTGCTCTGGTGCGACCAGTTCGACATCACGGGTAATGCCTGTTTATCTCCCAGGGGCGGACAGCGTTCGAGCAGATGCACTCTCTCGTCGTATCCTGGCCCCACAGTGGATGCTCCATCGGGGGATATTCGGGGCTATCTCCCAGTTGTTGGTCGTTCCAGGTGGATCTGTTTGCATCTGGGGGCGAACCAGATTCGGTGTTTTGCTCTCGGATACGGATCGAGAGCCATCGCCCAGGCGCTTTCCAGCTCGATTGGGCCGGACAGGGTTCTGTGGGCGTTCCGCCACTACCCCCTGATTCCCAAAGTCCTCTTGCAGCTTGCCACCCAACCAGCTCGACTTCTTGTGCTCCTTGCACCTTTGGTCGGCTCAAAGCTGGTTTCGGTACTACTCAGGTTTCTGGCTCAGCCTCCTGTACTATTACCCTTTCGACCCGGACTTACTATCCCAGAGCGGGCCGCCGCACCCGAATCCCAGGATTCAGTGGGTGGCCTGGCCTCTGTCGGAATCGCCTCCGCCTTGGCGGAATTCCTGCACCAGTTGCAGACACAATTCTGGCCAGGCGGAGGGATTCGACAAGCGTTCAGTATGAGGATAGATGGGCCTGTTATGCTGGCGCTGGTGTTATTAATCGGCAGAGGATTCTTGATCCCTTTTCTTCAACTGTAATTGAAGTACTGGAGTTCTTGCAGTCTCGGTTAGAAGCCCGGTTTAGCGGCGTCTACTATCGGGGCTACTCCACGGCAATCTCTGCCTTCCATATCCCTGCCGGCGGTGCTCTCTTGGGGCAGCACCCTCTCGTACAGCTTTTTAGCGTGGACAGAATCCGTCCGACTGTCCGGCGGATTAGTCCCCGTGGGACTTGTCAATCGTTCTTGATTGGATGTCGGTCCTCTCTTTCCGCGATCTGTCGTCTCTTTCCTCCAGCTGTTAAGTTGGAAGGCTGCCTTTCTTGTGGCGGTAGCGTCTGGCAGGCGGGTAGGTGATATCCATGCGATGTCAGCGGATCCTGCTCTGACTGTCTTTCACAAAGACAGAGTCAGTATTCGGTTGCCAGACTCCTACCGTCCTAAGGTCGCGAAGCCTTTCATATATAGCGCCTATCGAACTGCCAGCTTTCACTCAGCCTCCATCGTCCGGTACCTCTCTTGGCGTGCTCCGTCTTAGATGTCCGTAAGACTCTCAAGGCTTATATCAAGCGAGCGGCTGCTATCAGGAAAGATAAGCAGCTGTTCTGTTGTTATGGCGGTGGCAAGGCTGGTCTTCCGGCGAACAAGCAGACCATATCTAGGTGGCTTGTCTCTGCCATTTGTTGAGTTACTCTTACAAAGGATTAACCATCCCTCAGGGTTTAAAGGCTCATTCTATTAGGGCAGTGGCGACATCAAAGCATGCGCCCGGCGGCACTGCCCATTGAAGAGATCTGCTCAGCGGCTATCTGGAGCCGACCGAGTGCGTTCATCCGCCACTATCAGCTGGACAAACACTCGCGGGGCGTGCTTTCGGTTTGGCCAGACAGTTCTCACCAGTGGGCAGTGTCGTGATTCTCTAGCGAATGAGCCTTAGAAATCACGTTTGCTTTTCTCATGGTGTAGGTGTTAATAAATTCCTCAATTTTTATGGGTGGTGGTATCACATTGGTGGTGGTTTTACTGTATGTAGCGATTATCACTTTCGCTACAGTCACTGTGTTCATCCCTGCACCAGCGCGGCTGGTTTGGGTTGCTGAGGGATATATATTGGACTAAGCCCATACTTTCCCTCCCATTTTGATGGTTGGGGGTGGGACTTGCGTCCGCCTTTATAAATTCCACCAATAGCCTATCGGCTAGGCTCCTTTTCCCCATGCCTTGCGCCCCGCCTGATTGACATCAGCGGTCAGGTGACTAGGTGAGTGTACTTTCTCTCTCTGTCGGCCCGGCTGTGCCTTCCGACTGAACTAGGGGGTATGTTAGGCAGACAGAATACCACTCCCGACTCAACATCGTTGGGAGTCTGTCTTATGCTTATATGTACCCCAAGGAGGACTTCTTCTGAAAAAGAATTTTACAAACCTGGAGAGGTTATGAATTCTTTGAAGAAAAGTCCTCAACAAGTCTGACACCTCCACCTCCCCTCATTCTGTCTGACACGTTCAGCATGAAAAGTGAGGTACGAGGTACACAGCCAGAGTTACCTGCTCTTGGCTGTAGGGGGCCCTCTACGGGGCCCTGTAGGGGTGGTCTCACCACACATAACGAGTTTTTTGTTTGGTAAAATATTTTATTGAAATATTGTTACAACTGTCGTAGGCTTTTAAAATGGACATTTTAATGCTTATATGTACCCCAAGGAGGACTTTTCTTCAAAGAATTCATAACCTCTCCAGGTTTGTAAAATTTTAGATTTATGCTCATGATGATAGTAATTGTCAAAAGATTATTAGTGTGTATGTAAATCTTTGAATAATACTTAATGACCCAAATCCTCAAAACATGTAAACTTCCCCAGCTGGAGTTGAACCAAGTGATCAATCAGTCTGTAGTTGGGGTTATGTTTGTTGTTGTTTAATGCCACAATCAGCAATATTTCACCTTTTTGAAAGCGGACTCGTGAAGATCTGGGGTAGAATAGGTCTTCAGCAACCCATGCTTGTCACAGAAGGCGACTATGCTTGTCGTAAGAGGTGACTAACGGGATCGGGTGGTCAGGCTCGCTGACTTGGTTGACACATGTCATCGGTTCCCAATTACGCAGATCGATGTTCATGATGTTGATCACTGGATTGTCTGGTCTAGACTCGATTATTTACAGACCGCCGCCATATAGCTGGAATATTGCTGAGTGCGGCGTAAAACTAAACTCACTCATTTTTTATAGCGGTCTATGAACAAATCTATTCTGTACCAGACGATACAGTGATAAGTTCTATATGTTTTGTGTTTTGTCCTTGATTTTTATTGGTGCTCTGTTGTATATTGTCATGTTATTTACTGGTGATCTATTGCAGGGTAATGCTGTATACAATGTCATGCCTGATATAATCAGCCGCCTCTCGGACCCCGACATCGGCGTGGATGAAGAGAACTTCAACACAATCATGAAGTGAGTAAACTGTTCTCTCAGACACAAAAGACATCCACAACAAAAGAGGCTGTCATATGTCTAACTGTGTAATGGTGTCTCAGAATGTCACATGCTGAATGTGATCATGTGTTCTTGCAGGTACTTGTTTGCGTTCATCCAGAAGGACAAGCAGTGTGAGAGTCTGGTGGAGAAGATATGTCATCGATTCAGAGCTACACGGTACAGATCCAGATTATTCTGTGTTTTTAAAACAATTGCACAAAACAGTCCGCTTGACAGGATTCCTTACATAATAAGTTCCTGAAGCCCATTTCTGGTGTCCCCCGCTGTGACAACAGAATATTGCTGAAAGCGGTGTAAAATCAAACGCACTCACTCAATAATAAGCTCCTTACATAAGAAATCTGAGTTATGTCCCTTGATACACAGACATTGCAGAAATTCCCTCCCTTACCTTCCAAGAAAAGGCAAAACTGGAAGCTTCCAGCACAGTCACTTAAGATGGTGAATTCGTCATATGATCTAGACCTATGCTAGACTTAAGCAATGTCACATTGTGGCATGGTGGCTTGTTTTGAAAAAGAAACCTTTCCTTTAACTTAAAACGTTTATGAAAAATAATCAAGTGATCCAACTAGTAAAAAAAGTATGGCTTTACGCTGTGAGTCGAGTGTATGTAGGCCAATAGCTATAGTGTTGTGTGCATCCATGTACTGACATGTGTTGCTGTTTCAGTGTGGAGCGACAGTCAAGAGACCTGTCCTTCTGTTTGTCTATGCTGTCCTACAATGAAAAGAGTATACGCAAACTTCAGGAGAACTTCTCCTGCTACTCCGACAAGCTGTCTGATGATGCTGTGTACAACTGCTTCCTCACCATCATCAACAAGGCAAGGACCTTTCAGAAACAAGAGGCCAAGGTACGTGATATTCCATGCAGTATGATGTTGTCAGGAGTTCTCTTCCACAGTATCTTCTCGCCATCAAACAAAGATAAACAGGATAAAAACATCATGCAGGGAGCAATCAATCAATGATATTTAGTAGGTAACACTGTAAAAATGTCCCTATTAGTCATATTAGGCAGCTAACCTGATGCTGAATGATGTCATCTGTTCTACTCACCAATACCCGAAGAAAACGTACTAGAATCTGTACTTTACTGATAAAGTGCAAAATGTATGATCCAAAATTAACATCGCATTTGACCACTTTCTAGAAGGCATTCATTCTCTTCCCACAGAGGTTACTCCTGTCATATTTTCCTACGTAACCTCTGTTCTAATACGGCCCTTTCACGGTGTGAGCGTTCAAGACTCGTGATTGGAGACAATCAGATTTAGTTGTGCAATCAGCGACGTTGTTTCAAAAGTGATCATTCGCAAGGCCTCGGTAATTTCCGTATGCTTCGAGAAAACTAAACTTCTTCCCCTGCGCGATGCGCAAACGTTTCTTCTAGACAGAACTCAGTTATGTTATGGCGGATCAGTGGCGTCTCCATCGCCCTCGTTGACAACGGACAAGCTAGCCATTAAACGTCTTGTGTGTAACATCAACACAAGTCCCCGGCAGATGGGGGATATTTGTGGCCCCACATTTGCTTGTGTTAGTCAAGTTGAATCTAAGTCGATGTAACAGGTGTTCTGATTGGATAGAAAGAAGGGAGATAATTCGTGTTGCGATCTTTTGCCGCTAGGGGATTTTACGAGAACCGGGAAATATGGCCGTATTAGAACAGAGGTTACGTAGGAAAATATGACAGGAGTAACCTCTGTGGGAAGAGAATGGAAGGCATTGTGTATCCAGAGTTATAATGCTTGAATATTGGTTGTGGAGTGTTGATCAACAAGAGCACACTCTCAGTCAAAGATGTTACGTTTTACTTGTTATGGTTATTGAGTGGTGTCTGTACTGCAGACCGAGTTACATTGATTTCTATACACATTTAACTGTGATGGTTAATGTCGACTGAATCCCGACATGGGTACAATGTGTGAAGCCCATTTCTGGTGTCCCCCGCCGTGATGTTGCTGAAATATTGCTAAAAGCGGCGTAAAACCAAACTCAGTCAGTCAGTAATGTCGACTGTATCAGGTTACCAGACAAGAGTTCTATTTAATAACTCTGGTTTGAATTGATGCCTATCTTTTCCTTTCAAGACCATTGTTGATGAAATTGAGGAACGAATAGAACGGTGTCGCAACAAGGGGTTAGAGGAAGATGAGATCGCTCACAAAGCAAGCAAAGCATCAGGGGCTGCTGCTTCACAGAAGTCGAAACACAAGACACCTGCCAAAACACCAGGTAGGTACTCATCTGAAAACCTGCATCCAAGCTCACTCTATCCATCACATGTTTGTGTGACAGAAGGATGTGATTTCCTGAAGACACAACTGCACAGGTGCAGATTAAATTGGCATGTGCAGTCCGTAACATGTTCACAGAATAGGCAAACAAACCTCACCTGCTTCAAATTTAAACCTTATTGCCAAGATTTAAACAAATTGACATTAAATTACTGACATTTTGGAATATTCCTTGAACAGTCTAAGATATCACTTGTTTCAAATTTAAACCTTATTATCGAACAAGGTAATCATTATGAGGTGACTGGGATCATATATTACTGTAATGTTGCATGGTAAATCAATTTACCCCAGGGGTGGTAGGGTAGCCTAATGGTTGAACTGTTCACTTGTCAAGCCGAGGACAGTTCGATTCCCCACATGGGTACAATGTGTGAAGCTTATTTCTGGTATCCAACTGATATTGCTGGAATATTACTGAAAGCAGAGAAAATCCATTCTCATTCACTTGACCCAGAATATTGTCACTGCAAAATATAGCTTGCTCTGGATACAGTGTAGAGAAAAAAGAAATGAAATTGCGCCCTGTCATGTCATTGCTGAGAATTTTCAAACTGTACTTATATTATGTGAAGGGCGACGGCGACGCAACACAGGGAAGGAAAATCGTGAGTTTGATGATAGCCCAACACCACAAAAACGACAACTGAAGAAAAAAACGAAGGGAAAACCAAAACTGTCATTCAGTTCTGATGAAGAGAGTGATGTGGAGCTGTTCAGTGTGAAAGATGGTGAGTAACTTTTCAGTTACAGTGAGGACCGTGAACGTCTGTGATAGAAATGTCTTCAGCAATACGTGCTTGTCTTTAGAGGTGACTAAGAGGATTGGGCTGTATCCCATTTGCATGGATGATGTTTGTTTGTTTATTGTTAATGCTGCACTCAGCAATATTCCAGCTATATGGCATCAGTCTGCAAATAATCAATTCTGGGCCAGACAATCCAGTGATCAACAGCATGAGCATCAATCTATGCAATTGGAATATGATGACGTGTCAACCAAGTCAGCGAGCCTGACCAGAGGATTCCGTTTGTTGCCTCTACGACAAGCATGGTTTGCTGAAGACAAATTCTAACCCAGATCTTTAACAATTAATAGATAGGGATGAACATTCCCTTATTGTTGTCAGGTAGTCCTGCTTCTTTGTGTCACAGCTCGTAGATGACCCAGTAGTCTTATGAGCCACAAGAGCTTCTACTCACAATTTTGTGTTGGTTCAGGTGGCGATGGGTCGGAGGCAGAGGATGACATTGATGACACGTTCTCCGCTAAGAGTCCGGTGAACAAGCGCAGCAAGGGTGGAAAAGTGAAGCTGACGCCTCGACAGAGAGGAATGAGAGTACTGAACACATCGGAATAGCCTACTGACTTGCTCTGTATTGTTAATATATCCCACTCATGAAACACCACAGATCCTTTATCTACTCTGTCCTCTCTATTGTCTGTTTTCTCCACACTTCTCTACACACCACAGAATGATGTGGTTCTGTTCATAGTAGCCAGGGTAGGAAAACAAACCATTCCTGAGCTCAAACATGTTCAGAAGAAATATCATAGTTTAGTATGCAACTGAACTGAAGGACTATGTTTTTAGATGCCAATCTGCTCAGAAATACTATAACACTCTCAGGCTTTTTGTTAAGAACACAAGTTCCACAAAGGGTATGATTTATTCCAATTAGAAGCACAGCAGGTTTTCTGCAGTGAAATCTTTAATCCAATTACTTCCAATCTCTGGAATACTGTATTCACTAAAATAAGCACCCACTGACCAAGTTTTTGACAGACTTGTAAAACATGGCAGTTTGTATTTTTTTGTGTACAATGTACATTCAGCTCAATTTTTTGGCAAATGTTTTAGTTTCATCTTTACCATTATTAGGCCAGACCAATTTTATTTCTTGTTTTATGGATTTTTGTCCTCCGAAAACCTAAAGGCCCTATAAGAACATAAGGATTTTATTTTTTGAGCAGGGAAATTTAAAAAAAAATTTTTTTCTTATTCTTAAAAAAATATGACCAGCGGATCCGTAAAACAAGAAATAAATTTGGTCTGGCCTCAGATATATTTTTATCAGGATCCCTCCTTGTCATGTTAGTCGAATCCCGGGGTCCCTATTAACAGGAATGTGGTTATGTCCATTTCAATACTGGCAGGTATCACCAGCTGTGGAGACAAGCAGTTTATCTGCGTGTTGACAAAAATGTTGTTAATGAAAAATTCATTTCTGTTTCAAAATAGTTAATGTCACTTATTATTTTTCATTATTTTTATTCAAGATGTCCATTCACCAAATTTAGTGGTTTAACTGCATAAACAAATGTGGCTTCTTCGTGATCAAAAACATTGTTGTGGACTTTGCTTCTGAAGCTGATAACTCCAGCTTCCATTGTTGCCTCTGTGTTACATGATTAAATAACCATTACCATTCAGCAACTTTGTTCATTTATGTGAAACATGATTCAATGCTAGAATTGATACATCACGCTTGTTCCCTGATGGATTCCAAATCAGAATAGGTCTCTGGTACCTCATGCATGTCTCCATGAGGGTTTGGCCATCAGAATAGGCCCTGAGTACATCATGCATGTCTCCATGAGGGTTTGGCCATCAGAATAGGCCCGAGTACATGATGGAGGGTTTGGCCATCAGAATAGTTCCCGAGTACCTCATGCATGTCTCCATGAGGGTTTGGCCATCAGAATAGGTCTCTGGTACATCATGCATGTCTCCATGAGGGTTTGGCCATCAGAATAGTCCCCGAGTACATCATGCATGTCTCCATGAGGGTTTGGCCATCAGAATAGTCCCCGAGTACATCATGCATGTCTCCATGAGGGTTTGGCCATCAGAATAGGCCCTGAGTACATCATGCATGTCTCCATGTGGGTTTGGCCATCAGAATAGGTCTCTGGTACCTCATGCATGTCCCCATGAGAGTTTGGCCATCAGAATAGGTCTCTGGTACCTCATGCATGTCTTCATGAGGGTTTGGCCATCAGAATAGGCCCCGAGTACATCATGCATGTCCCCATGAGGGTTTGGGCATCAGAATAGCCCCCAGTACCTCATGCATGTCCCCATGAGAGTTTGGCCATCAGAATAGGCCCCCAGTACCATACACATCTCCAATCAATGGTTGTGTATAAATAACAGTAGTCGGAATGCGTCCAGGGGTATAACTGTATCACTTTACGTTGATGGCTGGGATTGTTGCTGGCGTACCTGATCTCTGCTGCATTGCTTATCTGATACAGTTGGATTGTCACTCATTTTTCCAGGAGACAAATTTCCAATCTGTGCAGAAATAGTTCAATACCGTCAGCCGTAATGTAAAGAACACAAGTTTACACAAAGTGTATGATTTATTCAAATCAGAAGCACAGCAGGATGTCCATCATAAATACAATCATTGTTTACACAATAAGCAATTAGTAAGCATGAGTATTCATAAACATAGAAACTAAAACTTTTTCACCTAATATCAGTTAAGAACAAAAATATACCCCTGAAAGAAGTCAAGCATATATGTATTCAGCATATATCTAAATGACATTAATACCTGTTGACCACTGATTTTTTTGCATGTGATTATGTATTTTTATTACCAATGAGGGCGATGCCCTAGGGCAAAATATCACTTTGTCATGGTGACGTAGACAGCCTATGTTTGAAAGTAGTTTTGGGTTATTTTCCTCAATTTGACGACTTCGGTAATAAACAGAATATTTTATTCGTGCCCATATCATACTATATTTACGACACTCGTGCCTAAATATCAGTATATCCCTCGCTCTCGCTCGGGAAATACCAACATTTAGGCACTCGTGTCGGAAACATAGTATCACATGGGCACTCATGTAATATTCTGTTTAACACTGCACTCAGCAATATTCCAGCTATATGACAGCGGTCTGTAAATAATCAAATCTGGACCAAACAATCCAATGATCAACATCATGAGCATCAACCTTCGCAATAGGGATACAAGCCTTGACCACCTGACTGACCATATTGTCGCCTCTTATGACAAGCATGGGGTGCTGAAAACCAATCCTATACCAGATATTCATCTTCCTCCAGATAACATGATGCCAATATGCATGTCACTGAATAATTTTCAGTTCAGAATAAGTACAAGTTCATCACAAATGTTTTGTTATAATATTTTTTTAATTTGCTTGTTTCAATGCATGACTTTGTTCCAGGAGTATATTTCATATTTCTGTGAAAACAACTAAAGACTTGTCATGATTCCGTGCTGAATTGTGGATTTCACATCTCGGCTGCATCTCCAATGTATTTATCCAATTATCATTAACCAATCTTTTTGACACATAAATTTGGGAGAACGTAAAGTGAATTCAGCATAGCTTAATTCAAATTGCACAGCTGAGAAAATATCAAGACTTTCCTGAGAATGAGATATGCATGACTTCAGCTTTCTCCAATAACTTGATCCTGTTCCTCAACTGATTATGCTTCAAAATGGACAGGACATTTTTAAGCTTAACAAGCCAAGCAAAGAAACATTAACAAAATTAATAAAGATTTGAATTTGTGCTTTTCTTTTTGAGCTTGATCCAGCATATAAACCTTATCCACATGAAATAACGAATTTATGACTTAGTTAAGTAAATACTGAATTTGATTTTTAAAACTGTAAAATACTGAATTTGATTTTAAAAACTGTAAAATTTGTGTTGGATATTGGGCTGCATTCTGAGAATTTGGAGAACAGACTTCTGAATGCATGCAAAATCTGAGATGGAATGTAGACAACAAAATATTTCAAACTAATAGTAACAAACATGGGTGCTAATAGTTTAAATATCACTGTCAATACTTAAAAAGCCTTTGGGGATGCTAAAAAATTATCCCCAAAACATTTCCCATTAAAACAAATTTCCCAACAAATATTTTGTTTTTCCCTCCTTTGATTATGTACAAATATCCCCTGTCATTAATGTGTGACCATATCCACCTCCCATCAATTGTATTTGGTGGATCCTAGCCCCTTTCTTTAAAACACAATATATTCCAATAAATAGTTGAAAAATGAAACAAAACAATCTCTCATCCATGATATTCACACCTCAGAACAAACTCACATTGGGACTGGCAAATATTATTTGTTGTAACAATAAAAGTATGTATTACCACCAACCTGGACATAAAACACCAATTACAAAAATGGACTTCTTTGTAACATTCACAAAAGTTCAACACATCGCTGGCTCAAACCCGTGAAGGTCCGGGTTAGAATATTGATCTTCAGTAAACCTAAACTCACTCACTGGCTCAGTGTTCATATCCATTCTGCCACAAGCAAAGAGGATGCTGGTTTGGATAAAGGTCCCCTGAAACCTATGCTGCATGTTTGTTGCTTAACGCCGCTCTCAGCAATATTCCAGCTATACACTGTAAATAATCGAGTCTGGACCAGACAATCCAGTGATCAACACAATGAGGTGAGGTGAAATTGGGTTTAACGTTGTGCTTAAGAATATTTCGCTCATATGACGACGTGCATGTATGTGTATATTGGGCTGCTTGTACAAGCCCAGACTGAAGCTGGTTTTATAGTGCTAGCCCACTGAGATACCATGCCGCAGTGAAGCATGAATACCCCACTCAGACACATTATACTGACTCCGAGCCGACCAGTCCTTGTTGTACCAATTAATGCCGAGCGCCAGGCAGGGACCAACAAGTACCATATTTTAACGTCTTTTGGTATGAGTGGTCGGGGATCGAACCCGCGACCTTCCGCTCTCCGGGCGGACGCTCTAACCACTACACCACGGAGGCAGTCATCAACACCATGAGCTTCAATAGACGCAATTGAGATATGACAAGTCAGTAATTCTGACCACTAGATCCTGTTCATCGCTTCTTACAACAAGCATGGGTTTCTGCTTATCACATAAATGTAGCGTCCTTAAAATATTTTAACTGTTATACCCTGTTATGTAGCATGTTACACTGCATTTTGTACAACTATACCACTGGCAATACATCTACATGTAGTGGCCATAAAATTTCCGAGTCCCTTGCTGGGATTCAAACCATGGACCTTCTGATCCGAAGTCAGATGCCTTATCCACATGACCAACAAGCTGATATGGTAAGGATGTCTCTCTACCAATGGGATTCCAAGCCCTGTTACAAAAATACTCCTTATTACTGCCTCTTCTAAAACACACACAGAGACAGAACAGTTTAAGAGGTGACAAAATGGATGGAAGACAGCAGGTCCTTGTTTCCAAAAGTAAAAGATCTGATTTTTATGAGACTAGAGATAATACAAGTGGTTTGGTGTCAAGGATGTGAAGAATGAGATCTCTTGGCAACACTTTAAATGCTGTTACAGCACACTGTCAAACACAGAGGAGTGTTCAAAACCAACAGAGCTAGAAACTAGAGATATTACAGCGTTTAAAATTCCCACCTGCCCGACCGTCCGGAACAGTCTACAGTGAAGCCCCGTTAGTCCGGACTCCGATAATCCGGATGTCTCGCCTCCCGGGCGATTTCAGCTTGTTACCAATCTATGCCTATATAATTTGCCTCGATAATCCGGAAATTCGGTTTCCGGAACCGGACGGTAAGTAGCTGTCACCAATCAGTAAAATAAACAGTAAATTGCTTCACAGTCCGGATGCTGTAAGTCATGTTCACGAACCGTAACAACACCTCCCGGCGATGTTTACTTAATTAACTGGCCAACTGGGTTGTTGTTTTAATAAGACATTAAAAGCTCCCGACTGAAGATACTGTACATTTACACTTTGATTGACACCACAATACAAAGGCGTGGATGACAAGTGAACTGTTTTGTGATTGGTTAATGTACTTTGACAGACAGATGCGGTCACGTGGACTTTGCTTTACGACAATGTTGCAAGTCACAAGTGTGCTTCGCTAACTTTGCGAAATGTGACCAAATACCACGTCTCATATTCAACCGATGGATGCAGGAATAATTAGGACATTCAAGGCATACTACAATAGATCGCTTGTTAGACATTACCTCACCTGTGCTGAGTCAGGACGTGATCAGACATGTCGGATCAACATGCGGATGTCACTCGGTAAAATTATTGATGTGATGAATTAAGCTTTACACTAAATGCTTATTTGTTTTATCCAGATTCGTATCGTTTTTGTAATAGTTAGGGAAGCAACTTGGGTCTTGATTCAGTAGTCCGGACTATTCGCAATCCGGACGAATTTACTGAGAAACGCAACCGTCCGGATTAACGAGGCTTCACTGTATTTTCATCTCGGACAGTCAAATTTCAAAAGTAGCCTGTCCGGTGGTCTGGTAGATATTTTTTTTACCCCCAACAGTAAATATTTCATTATATCAGAAAGGTTCTCTTGTCGCCAATTTGAGGTGTTTACAGTATTATGATGATTATGTTAACCTACTTACGATTGACAGTTCATGTTTCGATAACCAACCACAACACGTGTACATTCAGTTTACCTAAACTCGGTGCATTGTGATACCTACAAACAGTAACCTGACTAACCTGGTTTCGTTTGTTTTTATTGTTGAAAACCGGACGAGCAAGTTTGTATCCGGACTGGTAATTATTATTGTTACCAGTCCAGCTGTCTAGCTTGGAATTTCGGGAGTTTTAAACACTGGATATAACTATTTCAACATAGAGGCTTATAAAGCTCAAATTAGCAGCTGAAACCCAGGAACCCACAAGACCAACTCATTGACCCACTCTGCAACAATTGACAGCAAGAATTTGAATTAAAATAAATTAAAATTCCTCATCACACCGATCAAAATTAAATCCCACACACTCAAACCATGGCAGGACAAGAACATTAGTAATGTAAACATTTTCCTCTGATCATTTTTTAGAAGCTCAAGATGGATTCAAAGATTATGAATTTGAACATACTTCTCCTGAGGAGGTATTATATGAAATGACACAAAGAGAGATCACATCTGGCTAAAACAAACATAAATTAAATTTATACTTAAAAATCAGTAATTTCTCTCTTTTAAAAAAAAAAATATCTTGATTTGGGTCATATGTTGATTGCATAAAGCTACTACCACTGTCCATCAAACAAAACAATATGATGTACAGGACAATTTGATTTACCAAATACATTGTGACATTGACAACCATCATAATCTTCATAAGTCTGTCTCTACAAACAATACTATTAAATCTTCAACAAATGTCAAATCATAAATGTTTGCCAACTGCAGCAAACCCCTCTCACATACTCAACTAAATATATATGAGCCACTCTCACAAGTCAAAATATACATATATATTGTGTGTGTGTGTGTGTGCATGTGTATGTGTGTCTGTGTTTATAACACTGACTCATTCTCACACGTCCACGAATTTGGAACATAATTAACAATGATAAAAATTCTTGGAAGAATACCTCTAACACCTGACGGCCTTTTCTTGAAACATGTTCTGAATCCACAAGTTTAGCTCGAAGAAAATTTCTTAAGTCAAAGGTTATATGTTGCCTTTCTTCCTAGTTATATTCCCGCTAAACCTATGGATTGAGAAACAAGTAAGGCAATCAAATTTTAGAGGGACATATTCATAAGAATTTCATATATGTACAAAAATACCATTTGTAGCTCAATGTTTTCAGAATTCGTCATGTACGTTGGCTGCAAAGTCGACGATCTTGCTGGAGATGAAGATGTCCTTGTGTTTCAGCATTTCATCCTTGGATACCATCTTGTCTTTGTCCTCGTCCATAAGGGAGATCAGATTCCTTGACTCCATGAGTGCTTGAATTGGGTTTCGTGGGTCCAGATATGCCTGAAAGTGCAAATTGTATCAGTAAACAGTAATTGAGTAGGATTATTGTTTGTTTATTTGGTGTTTAACGTCACACCCAGCAATATTCCAGCTATATGATGGTGGTCTGCAAATAATCGACTCTGGACCAAACAATCCAGTCATCAACAGCATCAGCATCAATCCACACAATTGGGATACAATGATTATATTGCTAAAATTGGCGTAAAACCATACTCACTCATTGAGGACAATAAGACACTTACTTTGAGTTCCTTTGAAGTGACCTTTCCATCCTTGTCCTGGTCAATGGCATCCTTAAATTCAGCTTTGCGCTCCTCCTGCCAGTGGACATCCATCTCACGGAAGTCATCTCCTTCCACGTCACCAGGGGGCAATGCTATGAATTCCGACAGTGACAACGTGCCATCTTCGTTTGAGTCTAAAACACACCACCAGCCTTCATTACTGCCTTATTCTAAACCCGAATCCATGACTCATGAACCATAATCAAGGTAAATCTAGGTTTCGATTCAAAGATCAGCAAATTCTGGCACAACTAAGGGATGCAACTCTGCAAAGCAAATTGTAGGACCATGAAAACTAAACCCCTCATGCACTTTCCACTCAGATGTTAACTAAAACACAAGAGACAGCTTCCTTTGTCTAATATTCCAGATTCCAGCTATACGGCTGTATGCTTGTCATAAGGGACCGTTCATAATTTATGGCGATGGTGGTGGTGTGATGATGATTTTTATGAAAAAGCATGTACCAATGTGAAAGACCCCCACCCCAAAAAAAAATAAAAAAATAATAATAATAATGTATGTACAAAAGTAAACACACCCCCACCCCCACCCCCTACATCGTCATGCACAAATTCAATGACCCACCTCTCCTCCTTACCTTAATTGTTAGCATAATTTTTAATAATGAAATGAACAAAATTGCTGACACCCCCCACACACACACACACAAAAAAGAAAAAGGAAAGAAAAAGAAGTACATTAAAGAATGACTAGTATGTTAGGAACATAAATTTCCTGGAGTCTTCAAGATTAATTCAATCATGACTTGGAATGAACTTGTAGTGCTAATGAAATGTAACTGAAAAAACAAACCTTGTGAAAAATATTGTTATTGCAACTAAGTGTTCCAAAATTGTTTGTGTTCGATCATGAGAAAACATGATCGATTGCCTGGTGGTTTGGTCATTGTGACCAATCTTCGGTTGTTTCAATTAATCGGACCACCACTACTTGCATGTGCTTGATTCAACTTACCCGGAGCAGTGTTTAAGGTGTTTGCTCGCCACGTCAAAGACCTGGGTTCGATTCCCCACATGGGCACAGTGTGTGAACCCCATTTCTGGTGTCCCCTGCCGTGAAATTGCTGGAATATTGCTAAAAACGGCGTAAAACCATACTCACTCACTCACTCACTCAACTTACCCATGCTGTTCATGATGCTGTACACCATAGTGCTGATTGTCTTGTCACTCTGTTCAGGGTGTCGGAACCCAAGGAACTCAGTCTTGTTCAACTGGTTGTCTGCTGGGTCAATGTCGGCATCTGTCCAGCGGAACTTGTAGCGGACGAGTTCCTCCTTGGCTGAAACGTTATCACATTAAATCTCAACTGCACTAAATAACGTACCAATCGGCCAGATGAGTATCAATATCTTATCAATAAAGGCATCCTATTTTTCAAACAATATGAAGGCACAATGGCCAGATGAGTATCAATATTGTAACGGTCGACGGGGTGACTGGAGAGGTATGTACTACGACATTGTGGGTATGTGGATCTCTCTTCCAGCCACAGCAACACAACAGTTTTAACTAGTAAATAATTTCACAAGTTATAAAAGTTACCAACGATAAAATTTATTATATACAATAGCCAACTTCTACCAGTAAAGACAATATGCAATCACGCCGCCCAAAGTGTTACTCTACAAGTAATGAAGTAACAGTACAATTATATATAGTTACAACAGTGGAAAGATTTTACATGCGCTTCATTGAGTAGAGTGCCTCCAGCAAGCCGGGTGTAAACTTACAGGTTATTCATTGTTTTCTTCCAAGCAACAGAGATGCCACCATCCAACTCTCAATGATTCGTCTGTCTCCTTCAACCGTTAATTGAAGAATCTCCTGATCTCCGTTATTTCTATTGTGACGTAAATCCTAGATACGAAACCCTCTAAACACCTCGTTGTGATGTCACAACATGGCGGCACCCATGTCGCGACGTAGCTTACCTGAGGCAGCACAAATCAACACCAAAGTCGCTAAATAAATTACGCCACATCAGGTAGGCCGATGGAACGAGGTGAAGAGAAGGCTTGGATCTGTTTTACATACTAATTCCAACGGTATGAGCTCTCGTAATCCTAAGATCACGGTAAACTATATGTTGCAGTGCACTGGCACGGAACATTCACTATATTGACAGTATAACTGATACCGCGGGAATTAGTATACCCAAAATACGTCGTAAATAGTAAACATATTTATATAGGGTAATTATTATTGATTACCCTGTACATTACAAATATCTTATCAATAAAGGCATCCTATGAAGGGCACATTGGTCAGATGAACATCAAAAGAGAACTGGTCCCCTTCTGCCCACTATCCAATAGGGACAGTTACTACCTCTGCATGTAACTGCAATTTATAAGCAGATGCAGATGACCTTTCCTAAAGAAGTCACATTCTCTTTGACAGAACAGGTCACATGATATCACGTGCTCAGATCAAGTGTCAGTATTACCATCTGAATCCAGTTCGATCTCATCATAGTCCTGGACATGTCTCTTGGCCCGCGTCTCCTCATAGCCTTTGGCCAGCAGGAAATGTGTGTAGTATTCCTTCCAGTGCACCACACCTGTACAACAAGAGTCGTGGTGATAATTATTATAATGATAATGGTGGTGGTGGTGGTAATTAAAGTAATGGTAATGGTTGGTGGTGGTAATTATAATGATAGTGGTGGGGGTAATTATCAATGATAATACAGGTGGTGGTAATTATTGTAATGATAATATGGGTGACGGTAATTAATATAATGATAACAGTGGTGATAATGGTTGGGTGGTAATTATTACAATGATAATAATGGTGGTGGTAATTATTACAATGATAATGGTGGTTGTAATTTTTATAACAATATTGGTGGTGGTAATTATTACAAAGATAATATGTGTGATGGTAATTATTACAATGATAATAGGGGTGGTGGTGCTAATTATTACAATGATAATAGTGGTGGTGGTAATTATTACAATGATAATATTGGTGGTGGTGGTAATTATTACAATGATAATATTGGTGGTGGTGGTAAGTTTTATAACAATAATACTGGTGGTGGTAATTATTACAAAGATAATATGTGATGGTAATTATTACAATGATAATAGGGTGATGGTAATTATTACAATGATAATAGTGGTGGTGGTAATTATTACAATGATAATATTGGTGGTGGTGGTAATTATTACAATGACAATATTGGTGGTGGTGGTAAGTTTTATAACAATAATACTGGTGGTGGTAATTATTACAAAGATAATATGTGATGGTAATTATTACAATGATAATAGGGTGATGGTAATCATTACAATGATAATAGTGGTGGAGGTAATTATTATAATAGGGTTGGTAGTAATTGTAATAATGATAATAGTGGTGGTTGCAATTATCATAATGATGATACTGGTGGTGATGATGCTGACAACAGCAACAATAATAAGCCATATATATTCTGTGCTGCATTATAACACCACACAGATGCAGGCTGAAAGTTCTCCACTATTATTAGCCAGGCCAGTGCATCAGTGTTGATTTCATTATCAGCTACTTTGCAACATTACGCCATTATTTCACAAACTCACATTTATTGATCTGCAACATCTGTCAGTTATTGCCAATATATATCACATTATGACAAAACATAACGTGACCACACATGAATGACTCACAATCACTTGACTGCCACATAACTCTGATTCGTTTTAATATTCTAAAATGTGGATTTACTTAAGTGATGTAATATGAGTTGTGCCACTCATGAGTGAGTGAGTAGCAATACCCCTACAATATCATGGAGGGGGACATCAGAAATGGCCTTCACACACAGTACCCATGTGGGGAATCGAACACCGGTCTTCGGCATCATGAGCTAATACTTTAGCCACTAGGCTACCCCACACCCCACCGACCACTGTGCCCATTACGAAGGACTGTATAGTACAGATTATATTTTAATAACATTTCCAAATTAGGGACCGTTCATAATTTATGGATTAGGGGGTGGGGGTAATGATGATGATTTTTGGGGGTGGGGTGTGTCACCCATTTTGTTCTGAGGAGGTACAGGGGGTCATCAATTGTGTACAAATGTACTAGGGGGTAAGTAATTTTGTACAAATTTTTTTTTTAAATTATGCTTAAAAAATATGGGAAGGGGAAGGGGGGTCTTTGATTTTGTACATAAATTTTAGGGGTGTGTGTGTGTGTGTGTTAACTCACATTGTACATGCTTCTCCATAAAAATCATCATCACGCTCCCCCAGCCATACATTATGAACTGTCCCTTATTTCAAATGTTGATTTGTGGAAGGAACGTAGTGTACAGATTTTCCGGATCAAATACATCCTAGGCTCCTGTAATAATAATAATAATAGTCCATTTATCATGCGTATTGCTCCATGCACAATGCATGCTCGGAGCGCCTAAACAATCTGATTATTATTATCCCAGATAACCCAAGCTGCCTGTTGGCTCTAGAGGGTTACAGTCACATGATTTTATCCCACCGGGTGCTCATTTTCTGCTGGGTGAACAGAGGCAAGTTTTAACAAACTCACTTGCCTAAGGTCACATGTGCTTCTTTGTGGGGCAGGACTGAAGTCCTAGAAACTCTCAGGAGTCAAGCTGCCACACAGTCACCCATCCAAGGACTCTCTGCACCCAACTTTGCTTAACTTCACCTGATTTGTGACCTCAGCTCTATGCACATTACCATACGCCACCATGTGTAACCATGGTAACTGATCTCCTTCTTCCTCTCACTTACCATTCTCATCTGGGTCCAGATGCTTGAAAACCTCATCATTTTCCTGCAGAGCTTCATCAAAATGTTCTTGCATCTTCTGCATAATCCATGCCTCCATCTCAGCCTCACTCAAGTGCTCATCTTTGTCAGAATCCACTCTGGAAACAACACAAAACAATTTGCATGACAGTTACCACACAAGAGAGAACTGAAAACCTGTAAAATGGCTATGTTGACAAACACATGAAAAAGAAACTGTCTGAATTTCAAGAGACAAACTGCTATTTGGGGCCTTTTAGGACCTGGCATATGTCTTACCTACATGGAAGAAATGTATAAGGAATGTGTGGAAGGAATAAGGCCAAGTAAAAAAAAATATTTTTAAATATTTTTATTAGACTGACTGACTGACTGAGTATGGTTTTACGCCGCTTTTAGCTAGAATATTTCTGAGTGCAGCGTTAAACAAACCAACCAACCAAAATTGAAGTTGCCAGGACTGCCTATCTGCCAGATTCGTGACACGATTTTAAGGTGTTGACACATCTTGGAATCCAAACCATGTTCCTCTGCATACAAATTTTGATAAATTGTTATTTTGTTCAGCTATGGGCATGTCAGGATTAAGCTCATACTTTCTTCGATTCAGAAGTACTTTAACATGTGAGGAGTCTTTGACATGCAATTTCAAGCTAAAATTTGAACACTGATTGTTTACATAAATATGGATGATATTAGAAGCACTAAGATAGAACCATGCTTCATAATTAAGATTAGTACTCGGAAAAGCAACATGGCAATAAGAGATTAGATTTGGTCCGCAGGAATATATGCTGGTTGTAAAAGATGAATAATTGCATAAGGTACACAGACTATGTCATTGCTCATAATATCAATCATTGAATTATCAGGTTCAGTCTTGAAATTTACAGACCACCATCGTTCTGCTGGAATTGGGAAGTATCATTCAACTGAATATGACATGGTCAGTGCAAATTGATGGAAACTAGGCATTACACATACAGATGTGTACCCCAGATATGTTTCCGTATATAGAAACCTACCCTAGCCAAATACAGAAACGTACCCCAGGAAGATTCCATTCTACATTGTGTTGTTTTCTTGCTCATAAATATCATACTGTTGCGTTAGATGCATTTGATTGCATTATATAAGAAACGAGCACACACAACAACAAATATTTCGTAATGCACTATACCACTCGCAATCAGTTGAACGGGGATAACTACGTAGGTTGCGGTTTTGTGAACCTTGCGGAATATGGACTTGTCCGTCATTTAGGGTACCAAGTACGTCTCTGTAGTTTGACTTTGCTCTGGGTACATATCGTTGCACCCGTGCCGACAACGACCCCAGTGTTATTTATCTTTATTACTCAAATGACAAACAAGTTGACATATGAAGACCCTGTAAGGCTTGTTAGGGACCGTTCATAATTTATGGCTAGGGGGGGTGATGATGATTTTTATGGAGAAGTATGTACAATGTGAATGATCCCCCCTAGAATTTATGTACAAAATAAGTGCCCCCCTGCATGTCATGTACAAAATCAATGACACCCCCCCTTCCCATAATTTCTAAGCGTAATTTTAAACATATTTTTACGTACAAAATTAATGATCCCCCCCCATTCCCCCTCCCTTAGATCCCCAGAACAAAATGGGTGACCCGCCCTTAAAATCATCATCACTCCCCTAGCCATAAATTATGAACGGTCCCTTACCTCCCAATCTCTCAAGATGAAATGCAAGAAAGCAATTACATTTGTACTTTCAAATCTTTTGAATATGGTCATGCAACATGTGAGGTTTGTAGTGACATGCTGAGGATTGTGTTACTCTATCGACCCCCACCTTCACAGAAGAATAAGCACACATAGAGCGACTTTTTCCGGGACTTCTCAGACCTTTTGGAATCCACTTCTCTGGAACCAGGAATTCTTCTAATCATGGGCGATTTCAACATCCATGTGGACAATCATGCTGATCACATGACTAAGATGTTTAATGAACTGTTGAGCACATTTAATCTCAAGCAACATGTGACAGAGCCCACTAACACATCAGGCCATATACACTCGACCTCGTCATTACTAAGGAGATGTCAATTGTTCTCAGCATCAAAGAAGTTATCGACGAACAAATGTCAGATCACTTTGCTGTTCATTGCACAGTCGATGTCGACAGACCAAAACCAGAGCGGAAGAAGCTGTCATACAGAAAAACTAGGAACATTAACATTTCAAATTTCACATTTGATGTCGATGCTGCTCACTTGGTCCCTGCCCTGTCCAAAATCAGTAATATTGATTATTATTATTATTATTACCTCGTGAAGATATCCAACAGTTTTGCCGTAGAGTCTTCTCCTTCCTTTTCAAACTCCTCGTGATTGCCTAAAAATAGTTCTTTATGATACTCTTTGTTGATATGTCCATCTTGTTCCATCTTAACCGCATCGATGTGGTCGACTGGTTTCAGTTTATCCAAAGGAAGATTCTCGTCTTTACGTATGTAGAGAAGGTTATTTTTATTCTGATCGTTTTCAAGCGGTCTCAAATTGTCTGAATCAATTGCATTGTCTGCCTTTGCATCGTCTGCCGGATTCCGAACTTTTAATGGGTTTACTGGAATTCCATTTCCAAAACTTACACACCATAAACATAAACAAATACAACACATCCATGCATAGGGATCCATTTTTGCTGGAGAAAGCCCAAACAAGTGTATATGTCTCTTAACAGCAATGTCTTTAGCTAATCTGGGCAATTAGCTGAATGATTAACTCATCAAATAAGAGCCTATTTCATGTGTAATCACAATCTACACGTTGACACACTATAAACAGGAAATGAACAGTGTTTGATTGTGAAACTGGAAAATTGGCACCGAAACCAGTTGTGAATAATACATTTCTATCACCCTTTTAATAATAATAGACCATCCCAATGGTCTTTTTCGACTATTCCATTACACCTTTTGGGTGTATTTGCTTATTGCTCGCCCTATTTCTCAAACCGGTATCAGTTTGTCCGGGACTGTTTACCCTCTGAACAAAAATGGTTGTTTCGTTTAAGAATATAGTTCAATTGTTTTTGTGGAATAATTTCAAAATGATAGACAATTTACCACAGTTATTACCACTGTTGATGCAAAATATCTATATGGTTCTATAATGCTCTTGTCCTCCCTGATACGTGAAAATAGCTTAAACGTGTCACAGTGAAAAATCTGCGGAGGTATGTAGTGCGTCAACATCACGAAGAAACATGGCGGACAGCGTGGTGAATCCTTTGACTGTTCGTGACTTCAGTAAAGTTATTTTAACTTTAGACAATGTTCTTGTTCAGAGCGAGAAATTGTCAGAAACACCTTCCATGCAAGATGGCCTTGATTTTGAAACCGAAACAGATCTTCGAATATTGGGCTGTGAGCTGATTCAGACGTCGGGGATCCTACTCAAACTTCCACAGGTTAGTCATGGCGGCCATTTTGTCTTTCAAATAATCTTAACGTCGATGTTGATCGTTGACCATTTCGTGTATAATTTGATGATGCTAGTGGTTGAGACTGTTTGTTTTCATTGTAGGTCGCCATGGCCACTGGTCAAGTTCTGTTCCAGCGATTTTACTATTCGAAATCGTTCGTAAAACACAACATGGAGGTAAGAGACTTCAGTGATTTCAACATTCATTTTCCTAATGATATAGAACATCCTGATAATGTCCCCAATATCGTGAGTGATGATGTCTTTTATGTTATCTTTTCCAACAGCGTTACTTATATTCTACCCCTGTTGTCTGAATGAAGTCATGTAAAGACAGCATTCAACATTACAAGTGCAAGGAATCCATCAGATGGAGGTTGTTTTTGACCATAGCTGTTTGAATGAATACTGATTGTGTTAATTTTCTCCAGGTTGTAGCTATGGCATGTGTCAACCTGGCATCCAAAATTGAAGAGTCCCCACGAAGAATTAGAGATGTGATCAACGTTTTCCATCACATCAAACAAGTTCGAAGTGGCAGGTATGTACCAACATATGATCAAGTCAAGAAATTCAGAGGAAATTTACAATATGTTCACCTCCAACCAGAGTGTCATTGGTATTAAGGCTGCAGTCTTTATTACTGACATCATTAAAAGTGTGTTGTGTTATTTTTACGAAGATAAGCTGCAATTATTTCCTAAAAAAGCAACATTGACATATAATCTGTGAACATATTGTAAAGTTGTTCAAGAAATTCTTAAGTTTGGGTACTAGTTCATTTATTCTTCATGTAACATTTTTGCTGGCTTCAAATAAAGTGGTTACTTTTTGCCACTTATAAAACTGTACTGTGCCTTACACAAACGTCAAATGCATTTTGAAAATGGAAATGCAAATGAGGAACCATTCTGTGATTGATTTGCGTCTTAGTCGTTGAGGTTTATAAGAGACCCCCTTCAATTTATATCTTATGATAAGACCAGCCTCTTACCTATGCTTAGTCAAGTAACACTATTTTGTTGCTGTAGTATACTCACTCAGCTTCCAAATGAATGAGTTGTCACTATTTTTTAACTGGATATGTCAAAATACCTTTTCAGGCTTGTAGAATGTAAGATGTCTTATGTCTCACAGAAAGACATGTCTGCAAATGTTCTTGATGGGATTCCAGGTTCAATATTGTATTCACTGCTGACTCTTTTGTGGATAGTTATTAGTCAGTTCAGATAAATAATTGTAATCGGCCTAGGCAGAAGTAAGTGTGCTCAAAACAACAAGGCTAATGTTATTTTTTTTGACAATTTTGAAATATTTTTTTACAGTCTTTGCACCTTTTATAGAGTTTTCACATCTGTGTCCTGTAACATGGTTTCAGATCACTGTTATTTTAGATTATTTTTAACAACAACTGTTGGTCTTTAAAAATGTCCAGAAGTTATTTTTCCGATAAAGAAGAATGTCCCACAGACTGGTGAAATCATGTACATGACACGACAGTTGAGATTGTTCACTTGCTTGCTTTATGTTCATTATCATATAAGTACGTGAGGACACAATGTTCTTTTGCTAAAATTTGTTTGTTAGCATAAAAATACACTGTAATTAATAATGTTAACCAGCCACCAATTTCTTGTTAATAATATTAGATTATTAGGGATGAAGCATGTTTCGTGAGCTCAAAATGCTTAAGTATAAAATATTTATTGCAAATCTGTGACCATCCATTGTCTGAGCCAGTTTTAATGTTTTCACAACTAATGCAAATGTTGACCTTGTTGTTTATTGTAATTTTATTAACTTGTACTATTTTTTCTTTCACTGCCTGCACAGTTGATGGAAGCCTTCGTGAATGGCATGTGGAACAATCTGGTGATCACACGAGTCTCTCATGTGACTCACCTGACAACCTCCCAGCCACTTATTGTAAACCTGGTTTGTATGGTCATATTGTTACCAGTGGTCTCAGCAAGTTATGATGGGGTGATACTTGTGGCAAATATTTAGAATGTTGTAGAAATAGCCACACAGTTACCAAGAATGTAATCGGAAAATTAAATTGAAGATGGTGAACTTTCACAACTAATGTTTCTTTGTTTCATTCATGTGCTAATAAAATGGCAAATAAGTTCAATAATAAGCCTTGATCATGTTGATATGACATTCCAAAACAAACATGATTGTTACACCAGATTTGTTCATGAATCTTTTCAGAAGTTGTACTCGTGCTTATGAATACAAGTTACTGTATCTTGTCTATTAAGTTCATGATGTTATTCTGTGTAATAGCATTTGCCTATTTTGATGAATGAGAAGAGGATCTAGCGACAGAAAAGAACTTGCTTGAAATGGGGGGCAAAGTCGAAGCATACACAGATATCAAGCTCAACTTGCAAGTCCACAGAAATCTTTCAAGAAGCAGGTCTTTCATCAGCATATGGCTCGCTGTGACTCTGATACAATGACATTATTGTGTCATGAAGTAGAAAGAAGGCCTCAGTCAAAGGGAGACAATTCTTCAAGCACACAATGTCTGGTTCATTTTGACGTGGGCTTTTGCCTATGAAGCACTAGTGAAACATGGATGTATGCAAAAGTGCTTCTGTATTAATGATCACAAAAAAAGCTCAGCTTGTAGTTGGTTCTGAAATAATGCATGAGAAAGACTAGGCATCTGCATCACATGCTGAACTATCTGTTCTGTCAAAAGTCAAAAGCACATTATCTTGTTTTGGGTTCCAGTTTATAATACAGTGTATTTATTTCAAAGGCTTGGGAAAATGGTGCAATTTGTGCCATTATAACTGTCGAGAATTTTGAAAAAAACAGTTATATATATGACATATTGAATTCACAACTTGCATGTTTTTTGGTACACGTTAATGGATAAAAAAATGCCAGTGTATGCTTGTTACTAACTCAGCACCTTTTGGAATAATTTCCATATCTTGCTCACTGTTATCAGAGGCAATGTAATGGATCAGGTGACAGGAATTGGTTGGTTGTCTGCCCCGACTTCTCTTAACCAATCAATATTTTGTCTGGTCTATCATGTCTTGATCACTTACAGGAGCTGGAATATCATGGAGTGCATCATAAAACACTATATCTAGCTCAAAATTTGCCAAAGACAATTCCATGAAATGATTTGTATCAGTTTAAAGACTTGTATAAACACACATTAAACTAGCTATGGTTGCACAGTAGATACATATTTGTTATGGGAGAGTTGAGAAGTTTGGATTATGGCTGAAAATTGAATTTGCCTGTATGGGAATGAGCTCTTCGATTCTTTTGAGGATATATATACTTTAGTGAATAATTCATTATTTGACAAAACAGTTAAATTTACCTCATATCTTTTGATGGGGGGTATTCAGTGTGTATTTACTCTCGACTGCAGTGTCATATATATTTTTGCACCAATTAGAAGACGTATGATGACCTGCAATATGTATGTGACAAACCATCAAGAAAAGCGCAACTTATCATGCTTTGTACACAACAGTTCATGTATCTGAAATGCCAGCATTCAATCAGTAAACATAGATGGATAAAGAAAGATAGGCATGCACATTGAAAAGGATATAGTGGGTAAAAAATTGGTTGTTGGCGATACGTTTGTATATTTCATGCTATTACATTTACATTTCATCCACATTTCATCCAGAGTTCTGATATCAGTTTATTCATTGAATTTATCACACAAGTCCCATTGATACTTACCATGGGTTCTCAGGCCACGTGGTGTGGCATGCTTTACTAAATTTGCACATCAGCAGGTTCGTGCCAGGTGTAGGGTTGAATTTCCATATCTTACCTGATAGCTATGTGGGTCACATAGGACATGAAATTGACATGACATCTATTTAAACAGCAACATTTTTACATCTCTCTCAATTCATTTTAAGTATGCCTGGTTTGTATGTTATGAAACAAATTTCAGATCAGTTACAATAACATACAGTTTTCTCATTTGGTGCACACTAGATCATCACTTCATTTGTCACCTCATGTTCAACTTCTTGGCCTCATCTGATATTCAAGGGAGACAACTCTGGTAAATCTGCTAAACTGTTTATCCCCAGAGGGTCTTTGATGTTGAATGCGGATCACAATTTATCCCTGAAATATTTTGAGGTTGATAGAAATTTGGAGAGAGTTGTGTTTGAAAGATCTGGTTTTATTTCTTTCTTGTTAGTTATGCTCGTAAAAGTTTGTGATTCATGAGTATTTTTAAGAATGAAGTCATTGTTTTTGTCATCCCAGTTTTGCCAGGGGATTCTTCACATAGCCGATTGCATTTCATGTCAAGATGCTGGTTTGAATAATATTGACCCAGATTATTTACAGGCTATTGAAATAGATAATACAGTTCTGAGTATGTATTCAAGAGTATAATTCGTAGGTCCTATCATTTATTTGTAGTGCTTGGATACAAGTTACTTGCCTTAAATCTGTGTCAATCTAATTTTAAGCATGTGGCTGAAAAATCCTCACGTTGAGTAGACAACAAGAAATATCCTGTTTAGTTTGTTTTTTCATATATGCCTCTTGTGTGAGAAAGTTCTACTTACGATCTCTCCATTTGCATTGGGATATCCTCATTGTATTTGCTTTGCTATGGGTTTGATTTGATGAGTGTGACCAGTTGAGAAAACGGAATTGGTACACGTGTTGTGATATGGCTGGAACACTGGTGACAACGGCATTTGACCATGTTCACTCCATACATGTATGAGAAATACATTTTATGATAAAACAGGGCTGGGAAGTAATTTCTTTTTTGCCTAAGTCCACAATCGGCTACAGTTTGCATTTGCAGTTCAGAAGGAAGTCATTACTCCTTTCTGGCTATTATGTGTGAACAAATAAACCTTATCACGTGCTTCATTTGTCTTGCCTTGATGCTTGATCACTCTATACCTTGAGCTTTATTTTGCGGTGTCCACCAGATCAGTTAACATTTGCAGGAAGAGATTGGACTTCTTCAGATACTTTGATATTGATATCTTTTGTAATGGAAATCTATCATGCCTAATTCGAATGCTGGCTGTACTCCTCAAAATATACAGACAAACATATCATAGCTTTCATGTTTAGTCTTGTGATTGATGTTACACTGCGAGTTGAACATGTCTCTATTAAACATCTCAATTAGATGTTTTCATTTATGTGAAAGAACTAGTGTGTAACATGCATGTATTTTGATAGCAATAAGCCTGCTGAGACCACTGGCTATTAGACCCAACTGTGCAGGCAGCGAGTTGTTACTGACCCAATGTTGACTGGTCAGTGTGTGAGATGTACGATTTGTTCCAGGACCATCCAGCCCCTTATCCTCGACCAGAACTATATAAACATAAAGAACCAAGTTATCAAGGCAGAGCGACGTGTCCTCAAGGAGCTTGGTTTCTGTGTGCATGTCAAACATCCTCACAAAGTAAGTTGGAATCTCCATACCTTCATCAAATAGTAGGAATGTTTCTTTTGAAAGTGTATATTAATGTGAATAAGCAGGGAAATCATGTTTGTTGGAATAGAATCTCTGCAATCAGGCTATGTGCTGTCATTATTTTGTGATGGTTTTGAACTTAACTAAGCTATCCACCACTGGATTGTCTGGCGCAGGCTTGATTTGTTTTTAACAGGCTACAATTGTGTAGCTAGATTTATACAATAACTGTGGCATTAAGTATGGAGTAGGGTTTTCCATTGCTGGACTAACATCCCAGTTGAATGAATAAGATTTTGAACATGTTTGCAATGTCATTGTTTGAGTTAAGATTTCTCCATTTCCAGATCATTGTAATGTATCTGCAAGTACTAGATAGTGCTAACAACCGGCGCCTGGTGCAGTGTGCATGGTAAGTATTTTCATACAGAGTAATTCAGTAGTTGCATTGTCTCGTGAATATATGAGGCACTTTCCGTTTGAACAGGACATTATAACAATGCAGTTTTGTTTCGTGAACGATACAAATTCATCCCTGGTAAGTTGTTTCCTTTGTCTTGTATCCCATGCTCTGACTGCTCTAATCACACAAGTGTCTCGAAACAGGCATTAACATATTATTCTTTTCCTTTTGCCTACCCCAGCATAGGTGGGTAGAAGTGTTGAATTGCCTCACCCAGCCAATGGATGAGTGACGTTATTGCACCCAATGCAAGCAACACAACTTTACCCAACCGCCTCCCAAAGTTGCAAGCAACGATGGACCCCCAGCCAAGTTTTCACTCAAGCTTCTGCAAGGACTGTGGTTATGTTAAAACGACAAATGAAGGATCAAGACTCGACAGCATTGTGGTTCTAATTCACACCAGTGTGTGGGGATATGTGTGGATATTAATGTTAAAATAATTGCCATTGCATTTGCAAAGTCTAAAGTAAAGATGGCATGATCATTTAGACAGTAAGCATTAAGTGTCCACTTCAGGCTGTGAGAACTTATTTACAGTGTCTAGTATGTGAGACTCTTTCAGATGTCTTGTCTCGGACCTTGAGGGAAGCGTGGGAGAACTGATGTGTAAGGCTGGCAGCAGCCTGTGTAGCCTCCAGTTGGAAGTCTGGTTTGCTGGGGCATGGCAGCATGCCATAAGAGGTGGTAACGGGACTTGTTGTGGTAATTGTGGCATGCACACATGCTAGGATGTAGCCCATGATCAGCACGGAACATGCACAGTTATTCAGTGACATTGACCAGGATTTTGAGCGAAAGATGGCTTGGGTACATTGTGGAGATGGTGTGTTGTTACAGAGGGTGCAATTTTGTATCATGAATTCATATTCATTTCAACATGTAACTTTGTCAAGTTTCAGAAACTTGAGGTAAGGCTGAATGAATTTGAATTGCAGAAAGAGAAACTGTTTGTGTTGACAGACATCAGGATAGATGAGAGCTGTGATACGTACAACAGAAACACTTCTGATGAATTTGTATGTTCACAAAACTTCACTGTGTATTATCTCAGGATTGAATGTTAATATTTTGTCTAAATGTAATAATATCCATTTTCCTTGTTGCAACAGATCAATCAGAAATTTAAATATGTAAATGAAATGTCATAAATACTTTGTCGGTTAAAAAAGGGATTGCATTGTCAAATTTGTGTTTCAGGAACTACATGAATGACAGTTTCCGTACAAATGTGTTTATGAAGTACCAGCCTGAGACTATCGCTTGTGCTTGCATATACCTAGCAGCCAGACAACTACAGGTGAGAATTATTGTGATGTGAATGGATTTTCCTTGGAACGTGGCAAGATACGTGTTCTAATTGTTCATTTGTTTACCATGGAATGTTTTGTGTTCACTTGACTTGGATTAACCCTAAAAAAAGTCATGTTATCCATAATGATAGTACAAGGCATATAGATGAACAGGGACAGGGTGGTGTTTTTCCAGAAACTGTTACTTGTATCCTTCAAACCCTGAAGAATTTATCGTGTCTTAAAAACTGATCAAGACTTTATATCCATGTTTTCACATATTCTATTTATTTTCAAGGTTCCCTTGCCTGACAGTCCTCCTTGGTATTACCTATTCGAAGTGGAAGAAGATGAGATACGAGATATATGCATATTATTGTTGAATCTGTACAGCAGACCAAAGGTATGTATATGTTCCCTGAAGCTATATGAAATCAGATTGAATCGTATCTCTTTAACTCTTTCAACACCAGTCAACCAGAGGCATTTACTGCCATGACACCTATGTTTATGAAGGAAATTATAAGCTTGTAAAACGTTATTGTTACTACATCTCATACACCATTTAAAAGATCTAATCCCACTGTTGATAAATATGAAGTTTATTTTTATGATATTATTCAAATAATACAACTACAACTTAAATAAATTTATTTTTTAATGAAAATGCAAGCTTACATTAATAATGTCCAGATAAACCACAAAAGAAGCAAACACTATGGCGATTTTTTTTTCCATTTGTGACATTTCAGAACATGCCTGTGCATTTTCTTTTATATTTTCATTTTTACGTAATCAGAAAATTATTATAAAAAGATCTCTTAAATAATATGTATGGTTGCCTATTTCCCGATATCAGTGACTTTCCGCTCGGTAATATCACACAACAATGGAAAATACCTCCGTTTTCGAAGCTTCGTATGAATAATATGCGAGGCGAATGGTTTGATGTATCGTTCGAAACGTCAACAATATCACTGTACCCTTGCCGAGAGTATTTTCACAGTTGTAAGAAGCGATTTTATTGGATAATGACGCTTTTTCACCACAGTCTACTATCAGGGTCGTGATTGGTCAAAATTAGACACGTGACCTAAATCAGCCAATCGTATTACGGCAATGGATACCGTATTGTTAAACGAAAACTTTTAGATTTAGACGAAAGTTTTGGGTAAAATAATGCTATTCTGAACATATTAAGCAAGAAATCGCTACCTATACGTAAATTATGGAACTTATTGGACGTATCGTGCTAGGTTATGACCTGTGACCAAAATGCTTCGTGCATATGTTTTCGCATTAAACATCCTGTCCGCACAAAAAGATGGAAATAGTAATTTTATATGTACGTTTGACAACTTTTATGAATGCTGTTGTTGATTTTATTCAAAAGTTTATTCAATATATTTAATGATTTCCTCGAAACATCGTTACTTTGTTTTTTGACAATGTTATTGTGGACCCGCTGCCGAAGCATGTGTCCGAGAATCGTTGTTTTCAATAACATTGCGAAAAATAGTGTATGATTTTAATTCTGCCGATAATATATGATCAATTGAAATTTAATAAGTGTTTTCAGACATTGTGAAATGTGATAGATTTAATATATGAATCATAAGTCAGGTAGGTTCCTAAAATTATGTCTCATTTTGACATGACTACTGCCTGGACGATTAATCGGCCTCCGGTGTCTAGGGACTCATAACGTTGTGGCCGATTATTCGGCCTGCGGTGTTGAATTGGTTAATGTGAGTCATTAGAGTGTTCTCCATCTTGTTAAGTATCTTGTTTTCTGCTTGTAGCCAAACTGTGATGAACTGGAGAAGATTGTGGAAAAAGCCAAGAAGATTCAGGTAGAAGCAAAACTCAAAGCCAAAGGACTTACATCTGAGTATGGCACTCCCAACTCAACATCCAGACAGAGTAAGGTTTTACAATTTGACTTCCATTATCAAACAACAGACCTAAATATATATATAATCCATGCTCAGCTGACTTTCTTTCAGGCTCTGAGGCTTTCTGAGAAACTGTTGGTTATTTAATTCATTTTGTTATTGTGAACACCTTCTCTTTCAGACTCGCCAAAAAATGTTAGTCCCAATCCGTCCATATTGCCTGGGATGAGAAAGGTCAAGCTTGAAGAAGATCACCATTCTGATGGAAGGTGGGTTGAAGTTATCCATAATGTTGAATCTGTGGCAGACAAATGTCCCCTGTGCCTCGTGCTTGTCCAAAGTTTGAGCTAAAATTGTATGGCACTGTCATTCCTTGTGCTGTCCACTACTCTTGAAACAGTTTTAGAGTTACAATTTGGATCACTGCTTCCTGATCACTGAACTGGTGAAGATTATTTACTGGCTGAGTCAAATAGCTGAAATATTGTTTTGTGTAACCTTCCCAATGATCAGATTAACTGTTAACAGATGCTTACAGGTAGGTGGAATAATGCTGGTTGACTAGCATTGTCAATTGCTACACAGACATGCATTCATCATTTTACAGTTGTCAGCAAAAGCACATATTTTTGGTTGATAGCAGCAATATTTTTGACGATTTCCCTTACTGTTTACCTGAATGAAAGTTACAACTAACTGGTACCACTTTCCCTAAAAAATCTGTTATTGTAATGAAATATGGAAGCCAATTGTTAAATGAAGCCGTTATCTATTTTAGTCATGGGAGCCACAATCACAATTCCAAAAAGCGGGGCCACTCGGGTAGTGATCAAAGCCGCTCAGATAGAAGTCGAAGTCATTCACGCTCAAGGTAATGCAACCAAATTAATCTAATTAACACTTGGCAGTAAGTTAGCAAATTACAAGGAATTTTGCGAAGGTTGTTGACGTCTGACATTTAGGTTGATTTTATTTAATTACAATTGTTTTTCCAGATCCTCAAGAACCTCATCAAGTAGAAGCACAAGCAGGAGTCCAGTCTCGAGGAAGAAAGTGCGAAGCCCATCCAGGAAATACAAGAAAGAAAGAAGGTTATCACCCATCAGGTACACATATAAAGAAAAGCATTCCCACAAGCGAAAGCGAAGATCACGTTCTAGATCTCAGAGTCGGCCCCATGAAGAGCATTACTCCAAATCAAGTCTAAAAAAATACTACAAAGAAAAAGACCGAGGCTACAGCCCAGATAGACATCGTTCTCGGAAACATCGGAATGGTCACCGTGCAAGTTCCAGGGACCGATATGATATATACCGTCGGTGATAATATTGTAGGAGAAACAATGCAGACGGGTGTGCGTTAGAGACATTGGCCAGTGAAACAGTTTGATGACAGCAGGGATATTCTTTGTCCAAGATTAAATTGTGACTTAAAATGTTGATTTAGATATATATTTATGTCTGGCTTTAGTCTTTGGACAGTTTACAGTTTGAAAAGAGTTCATCCCCAGCAACAGTTCAGACAAAACTACTAGGTATGTGTTCTGTTTTTCTTATTTTCCTGCTTCATTGGAAATGAGGAATGCAACATGTCAACAGTATTTTCTATTTTGTCAGTTCGGTGAACTGTCACTGATATTAGTTTGTCAACAGTTTTGGTAATAATCATGTTGGCAGGTTTGTACAAATATTGAAGTTATGGCTGTGATTAATGTATGACAATTATTTTGCTTGGTCAGATGACCCAGTCACCAATACAAGTGCAATTGACTTATGCTGAAAATATGGAACTGAAAAATGGAAAAAAATGTGATGTGTTGAATAACTTTTGGTCAACTATGTTTAGCTGTATGCTTTGGCAGTTAATGCTCTATGAATATTATTGGAAAGATTAACAGGAAGTTCAATTTGCTAGATTTGGCATTAATGATTTGCATTCCAACTTCTGTTTAGTTGTATCATGTTGTATATAACAATCATGTCCATTATAAATTCTGGTCTCTTCAGACCTGTTATGCCTGTACTCAGGGTACAAGACTGTGTGCCTGTCAGATCTGACTGTTTGAATGTTCATATTGAATGAATGGCAATTCTGTTTTGTAAATAATATATATTTTACATGAAGAATAAATTAAGTATGGCAGATTCCTTTTCTTGTTGTTTTAAGCAGATCATAATTATGCTGTTTTCGACTGCTCCAAAAAGTGTGAGCACCACTTCTAGAACATCTGTGAGTGGATAAGTTGATCACCAGATAGTCTGATCCAGACTCAATTATTTACAGACCGCCTACATACAGCTGGAATATTGCTTTTACCTGTAAAACTAAGCTCACTCACTGCAAATGGATAACTCCTTAAGCCTCTTTTACATGCACACATTTACTCCTGTAAGTATATTTACTTTCTGTTCACGTGGATATTTAACCAATAGGAGTATATCCGATTTGCATACCACCCAGACATCTGGTTTTGAAGAAGTTAGGTCATTTAATCTTAAGACACAAAATGAGTAGGCTTTTGACTTTAAAACGCACAGGAGATCTGCTGTATTCGTTAACTACAGGACTTGTCCTAGGTCTAACAAAGGACAAGAATGATTGGAATAAGACCCGTTCAAGAATGTGGTGGACAGACATTGTGCAGGGCACCTTAGATGATGACCAGTAGGTAGAGAATTTTCTACTGAATAAAGAAACGTTTGCTCAACTGGGACCCTCACTAGTAAGGACTTGCAGCAGTGACCTCAATCAGTTCAATATCGAAACGTGTAAACCCCCCTTGTAACGATTTGGAGTAGCTTACGGTGTCGCGAAAATTAGAACAAACCCTATTTGTCACGACTGATCGCATGCTACAAGTTCTTCACTACTGATCGTACCATGTAAAGGCACCTCTATCATTGTATCTTTACAGTGGTACTTGTTATTTTATGGCAGTCATTACCCAAGTAACATCTTCAACAACGTACCTCCGTCCACAATGTCCCAGTCCACTCAGCTGTAAAATGGATACCCATGAGACTCACAATGTGAGCCATTAGTTCTCTAAGCACAGCGAGGCTGTATGGTCCCCAAATAGTTGAAAAAGTATCGGAAGGTACAATGGTGTCCAATGACAGGGATACCTTGTGCATGCATGAGGCACAGATCTGACATAAGCGACTATTACGTACTGATGTGCGATATTTTATGCATGAAACGTGATAGATATGAATGACAACCTCTTACGGCACAGGTCAAATTGTTTTCAAACAAGCAGACTGTACAATCCACAGGGCTGTTACAAACTACATGTAGATGGAATTACTAATCGCTCTATTTACAGGAAAGGAAAAGACAATTTCAACAATTGAGATAAAATATAAAATCTTTAAATGAACTCCTGAAACTGATACTGCTACTGCTGTCAAACTGACTTAATGGCTAGGGTTACACCATGTTCCCGGTGGCCACGGCAGCCCCGTTTCGCCGACAAAACAGGGACAAAACGGGATGGACGTTGGACAACGTAGGGAGACTGACAAGCCGTGGATGCCGTGGCAGATTAATAACCTGTTCAAAAATTTGCAACGGCAGTAACGGTACTAATGAGAAACCTAGTAGGCTGAAGTAAAACGGAGGGTCGCAATAAAACGTGACAGCACGTAATAGGCCGTAACAAAACTTGTAGACTGTCCGTACTGGGACGGGAGCATGTGTACTCCCAGGCATTTCACGGTTTTGTCACGTTCGGCCACGTTTGATTGGCGTACTGTAGATTTTGTAATAGTAATAATATTGAAGCTGAATTTCATTTTATGTTTGACTGCCCAATATATCATGATCTTCGTCAAAAAAGGGATGTCAGTGTACATCAATAGCCATTACTTTATTCATACACTTCTTTGTAATAATTTTTCGTTTGCTACCAATTGTGCAAATTATGTAAACGATGCGCTTGCTTTACGTTCATCATATATGTAGTACAAACTTAATATTGAAATAACATTATCATGTTTTTTTGTACGTGGGCCTAAGGCCTTTTCACGAACGCCGAAAGGACGCCAAACGAAGATGCTATGATAACTGAATATCATGAACGTATGGATCAGGTAAGATAGTGTTTTGTCCTGATACAATTAATAGCATGGAAAACTTACACAACACCAGTGGAAAGGTCACGGCAATATTACCTGTGTTTGAGAACTTTCAAAGAGAAATTGACTCCTGAAGCTGCATATTCAGGGAAAACCAAGAACTATTGGATATTATTCTCCGCCACTGACGACCTAATTAAAGGTTATATACATTTGTATTCTATTGAATAGGAGAGTGTTCTCCTGGTCTGTGATATAACTCTGGTTTGAGCTTGGGATATACATGTATAGAGTTAATAAACGCGACAAAACCCCTTCCACATCCATACGAAATCTCTGCTATTAAAGTGCAGAGTGGATTGTACAGTTGTAACTATATTGTGAGCATTTGATCGTTTGTTTAACGTCGCTCTCAGCAACATTACAGCGATATGGTGGCGGTCTGTAATTAAATTAATACTGGACCAGGCAATCCGGTGATTGAAGAGGTGAGGGTGTCTCTCCACACAGGTGGTACCCGTCAGAAACATATATTACAGTAAATGTCAAATCAGGAAATGTGTAAATTTCCTGGAATATTTAGGAAATGCGTACATTTCCTCACTCACTAAATGTACACATTTCCTAAATATTCCAGGAAATTTACACATTTCCTGATTTGAGGGCCTGATTTTTTTACACATTTCCTGATTTCCTGATATGAAGTTTTTGCTTAATTTGCAATGAAAACGAGAATGTGGCCAGATCTGTTGATGGTAAGCCTCGTCATCCCCAAAGCCAAGGGTCTGTAGAACGTCTTAACTATGACATCAAGGATATGTTAGTTGCCTGGTTAGCGGACTAACAACTGACTGGCCGAGTGGACTACGATTTTTTGCAGTTCCAGAAAAACAGCAGCCATCACTCTGGAATCAAGCAGTCACCTTTCAGAGCCCTGTTTGGAAGTGAGCCAGAGTAGGTCTTCGTTCTTCTACCCTCCCCTCTGAAATACTGGAACGTCTGGTCACTGCAGATGACCTCCAAGCAGCATTCGAGCCGTCTACTAGACCGCCAGCAACACACCAGCAGGACCAACCATCCTCTGCAGAGTCATCATCATCAGAGATCTCACAGATTGAGGAGCAGCCTCAAAACATCCAGCTTAACTGCAAGAGAGCTGCTGATGGACAGTTTGCTTAAGCTGAACGCATGGTGAAACGCAGTCGTTTGGAACATGTTGCTGGAAATCCAGGTGATTATGTGGCAATACCAATCCCCCTTATAGATCGTGGCAAAGGGGACCCCCGAAATATCATGGGTGTGATATTGGATAGAAATGAGAATGACTTGTATCGAGTTGCTGTGAGATCTGGTATCCTGAAGGAACGCTACTGCAGAAGTCAATTTGACTTGTGCGCTCAGAACATTTTGTCCATGGTTGATATACAAACTGACAAAGAAATTGGACTGCGTCAAGCTGTGCAACAAGAATCAATCTGTGGTGGTCAAGGATACACTAAGTGCAGTTGTGCGCAAAGTACTAAGCAGTGCAAAACCAGCAAATGTATAGTATGACCAGAAATTATTGAGAATTTTAGGAATATGTTTAATTGGATTTCTAGTATAAACAACCTTGACCAGCTATCAAGTGCTTGGTTTCATTCAAGAGAGACAACTCCGTTAATCCTTTTTTCATTAGTTTGTGAAGTGTTATCCCCCTTCGTTTACTTGCTAGCAGACGACATTTTCAGTGATCCTCAGTATGGATGATTTAGAGAAGAGGAAGTTGATTTTAGAGTATTATAACAAGGACATCAGATCAGCTAAAGTGATTTCAAGTAGAACAGGCATCCCGTTGTCCACTGTTTATCGTGTTGCAAATGGATATGGCATTGAGCACTAGGGAGGCGCAGGTAGGCCCAGAAAATTGACTGTCGGTGACAGATAGCGGGTTGGTATTCTTGTTTCTAAAAACAAACGAAGGAGTTTAGAAAACTTAAGGCTGTATATGATTGATAGAGGAACTGTGGCTGTCTGTAAGGAGACAATTAGAACTGAGCTGCATGAATTGTGTTGGCAGAAAAGTCAAAGAATTCCATCACCGATCATGAAACCTGAACAAAAGGAGCGAAGTTGAACTGGTGCTTACAGAATAGACATTTTAACTGGGACAATGTGATTTTCTCAGATGAAGGTTGTGTGTGGCTGTTTCCGAATACACTGAAATTCTGGACCAAACAAACTGAAAAACCTTTGTATCAGCGTCCAAAGTACAGTCCGAAATTTAACGTGTGGGGTGGCATAGCTGTGTTAGGGTCAACGCCCCTCTGTGTATTTGAAGGGAATATGAACAGTGAGCGGTACACAGATATTCTCGAGGGACATTTACTTCCATCTGCTCACGTGTTCTGTGGAAATTTTTGGATTTTCCAGCAGGACAACGACCCAAAACATCGTTCAAAGCATTCACAGGCCTGGTTTCGGACCCAAAATATGACATTATTAGATTGGCCAAGCTATAGCCCTGACCTAAATCCAATAGAAAATGTTTGGGGACTTATGAAGGTAAGTGTCAATAAGAAAAATCTGAGAAATATTGCTGAAATGAAAGAAGAGGTGGCCCGATATTGGGACAGCATGGACCACGACTTTCTAACTTCTTTGATCAGTAGTATGCCCCGCCGCATTGAAGCCTGCATTGCTGCCCATGGTGACTTGACAAAATACTAACTGTTCACCTGTCTTTGAATCTGGAGTTATGTTCTGCTAATATTCATATTAATAAGTGAGTAATGAGTGAAAAAACACATTACAATCTTTAAATTCTCAATAATTTCTGGTTGTACTGTAAATGTTACAAAGCAGGATTTAAGTGTAATAGCCGTTGTCATTCAAGCTTGAATTGCCACAATCAATGAGTTCGTGTAAATTGATGATTTTGTTTGTCATTTAAATCGAAGCTGTATTATCTGAGATAGCAAAAAAAAACATATCAGGAAATGTGTAATAAAATCAGGCCCTCAAATCAGGAAATGTGTAAATTTCCTGGAATATTTAGGAAATGTGTACATTTACTGAGTGAATCAGGA